TTACTGAAGCCGATCCATCCGGGATATTACGCCGTCTTGCAGACAGCTACGCAGTGCGTCGTTGAGACGTAACCACCGCCGTTTCGCTAACTCGCGGTCAACGAAATCCTGTCGAGAACGAGGTTAGGCTTAACCAGTCGTAATCGTTACAACTACACGTTCTTGTTGCAAGCGCACGCGTCAAGCACGTCCTCCTCGTCAGGATCCCTTTCGACTTCTTAAATCAGCGGACCCCGTTCGTTTAGTCTGACAAACTCAGCATTTAAGTCCAATGTCTGACCTGTAGGTAGATTCACCTTCGAAAGGTAGCGGGCCTGAAACAAGACACTTGTTTCTTTCCTTCAGGTATTGGCGGCGATGCTGCAAGCGCGCTGCTCTCGATCCTGAACGACTGGGGGATGTACCTGCCCAAGGTATGGAGCTGAAGCAGGGATCCTTTTCTTGAAGACAACGCCGTGATGCGGACAGTCCCCGCAGACTCTGGGAGGTGGGCATACGTGGCAAAGGCGATGACGCAATGTTTAAACCCCTGGGTTTAGCATCGTACCATGTTGAGCAAATCAAGAAGTTGGAAAAAGGTCAGGACTTTCCTCGCCCTGGGGAAAACCTGCGTACTGGGCAGTGCCGCGAAGTATGATGAATGCATTGCAAGCCATATGTCTCGTAGCTTTCAGGAGGCTTGCATTCGTCCGCAATCATTCCTTTGTGTCTATACTTGTCCTGGGCAGACTAACTTTATCATCGTGATGACGATCAGTTTCAAAAAGTGTGTTGGAGGCGACCTGGGAGCATCTTTCGAAGTCGAAAGTGTAGTCCGTCAGCGGTCACGGTAATATGACCCGCTTGGGCACAGCGGAACCTCCGACCCGCGAACACTCCTTAATCATTTCAAGTTTTACTTGATCCACTTCAGACCCCCCGACTCTCGTATGGCTGTCGACCTGCTTGTAATTTTGAGTCAAGCCCTGCAGATTGCCCGCCTAAGAGTTCGCAATTCAGTCTCCTCAGCTTTGAACGCTTCGCTGGAAGCATCTTCTCTTTAGGGTCATTGACTAGTCGCTTCCTTATTGTTCTTCTGCAGGTAGATGTGCCAGGCGACGATTCGAATGAGGAATCGCCGCTCTGGTCTCATCACGCTGCAGTCCGACTTCAGCTTGTTCTATTATGCGTCTGGGCGTTCGGGCTGAGTTCGTGCTTGACCTCAAGCGCTGGCGGGAATCTTCTTTCACTGAAGACTTTCATTACTGGCAATCTGAGGGTGAGGCGCAGACATCTTCCGCTTTCTAAGTGCGCCACTCTCGTCGTGACCGTCCAAAGGTATTGCCGCTTTAGAAGGGTCTACTTAATTTGAACCAGACATGGAATAGATCTTGGCTCCCTAACCAGGCTATGCCTATCAACACAGCATGGCTGCTAGAATGACTTCGACAACAGATTAACATCCGCATCGGGGAGAGGTGCGCAGAATCAGCGGGCTCTCGCCCGTCCCTATTGCAGTGGCACTTTTCTGCCCGTTGACTCGGATTTGGTGCTGCGGAATGAGCTTTCTGCTTGGGTGTTGATTCAGTCGAGAAGCATGTCAACTTCGATTAGAGGCTAGGGACTCCGTGGCAGTCTGCTTTGCGAAGGATGAACCAAAGTCTGTTGTCATCTTTGCTTGCGTCAATCCGGTCGTTCAAGTGTTACACGAAGGGGGAATGTGTCCAGAGTTCAATTCTGTTAAGTAAACAGCGCATAAGCTTCAGGAGGGAGTTTGCTCTCAAGTTGTCTAGGTGCACTGGCGATTGGCATTTCTAGAGCGGACCCCTTCCTTTGCAGATGGACATCTCGCACTTTACTTCTTACCTCCTTGGATGAAAAAGCAAGCTTTGACTTCGATTCGACATAACAAACCGATTTGTGTGCAGGTTTGTTTCAAATCAATGAGCTAGCGTTTCCTGCCCTTCTGCAATGCAATACAGCTTGAATATCCAACTAGTCGACAAGAGTGGAATTTTTGGTAGAGTCTATGATATGCGCTTCGAATAATTGAGCCCAATACACTAGTAGGTGATAGTTTCATTGCACTTCATATGGTCGTTGTGAGGCTCTTGCATGGCATAAACTATTTTGATTTGTGCCTGAGCTTCAGTAGTATGATCGAAAGGTTATAATTTATGTTTGTTTACTCCACTAAGGGAAAGCTGATTGATGCATAAACATCATAATACATCTAAGTAGTATAGGTTGTTTGCGAGTACCTGTATGAGTATTTTATTTCAAGTCGAAGTATACTGGCATCATGGGCAACAAGTGCATTGTTGAAATACCAAGATGTGTACCCTTTGTAGTAAGCCATCGTGGAAGCTGAGTTGTACAAAAGTAGCAGGCGATACTATATGTCTCGATTACATCAGTTATTGCCTGCGGTAAAAGATGTCAAATCACCATGACGTGACTAGTGGTCATGAGTAAAAACTTCCGTTATCTCTAGGGGGTCGCCTCTGGCGACCCATCCCTGCCTTTGGCAGGGGATGGGGTCGCCTTCGGCCACCCCATCCCATGAAGTTTTTGCCGGTGAGGGCCGCCAGGGCGTGGCGGGGGCGTGGCGGAACGGCACGCGCCCACTAGCACTGAGCAGGCACGCACTGAAACTTTCAGTTAAAGCGACCGTGACAATGTCGGCCCGCTCTCAACACGTGTGCCTTGGATCAAGTTCAATAGCCTCAGCGTATCGTAACTATGAATAGAACAAAATACGTACGTACGCATACGTAGTATTTGCTTCAGACTCTTCCTCCCGAGCATGCTTACAAGACTACTAGCACATGTGCTAAATGAATGATCCTGCAATGCGTTGGATATTTGCTACACCGCATTAAGGCAAACTTCATGTTCACGAGTTAAGTCTATGTTGCATATATGCTAGAGACCTTGTAGCAGCTTGTCGCTGAAGCAGATCAGTCGGAAAGAGGGCGTATTCATACTCATCTGCATTGAGCGATCCATATCAGAAATGCATTTATGAAGTTCTGTTGCTGCAATTCGAATGTGCTGAACTCGGGGCGAATGTTGCGAACGAGGTCCCAACTTTAAGGACGCTGCAAAACTCACACTGGTTCCTTCAACCCCAAAGCCCTGTCGAATGCCATGATGTGCTTCACATCTGCTCCATAAGGAACGTTACCTGGCTAGCAGCCGTTCATCAACTTGAAGAGCTTATGGGGCCGATCCTGCTCAACGCAACCCTTGTATCTTTCTGAAGCAAAAGCTTCCATAGACCAGATACTAAGGAAGACGCTATATACCCTTGGATGCAAGATCACAGTGAAACATTGGCGAAGCAATCAGTAAGCCCAGGACCTTGAACATCGTTGGACTTTGTAGGCCACGCTTTACTCGCTACTGAACAATTAAGTGCCAAAAGGGTGCCATGTGAGCCCTTGGGAAGGGCTCCTGACGCGGAGCAGGTAGATCGAAGCTCTGTACTAACCTAGAGTATATACGAGTCTACTGGCGAGCGCCGGCCCGACCGCCAGATGGTACGGCCGCAATCGAGCCAGCAGAAGCTGCACCGCAGATGGCGGCAGCATTCCCAGCTGCTGAAAGAACTGCAGCAGTCAAAGTGAGCACAATTCAGGGGCGTTACAAGGACAGCGTGTACTCTTCAAGGTACTCGCGGTTCATCTCTTACCAGAAGGGACGCAGCGTCCACGAAAGAACCATTTCATCACGATAAGCGCACGTGCTTGATCTCTAAAGCAAACATTTGTCAAGGGCCACTCACATCGAGCGGACTTGCGACTAAATCAAACGACATGCAGAACACACGGTGCTGCCAAACTACTGTAAGTAGTGCTCGTTCCGACAGCCCAGCATCTTCCTCAAGCGCTGCCGACAAATTGCCTCACCCTAAACGGGATGATTGTGCCCCCTAGCAGCAGCGGCACTCCGCCCAGCTCCTCCACGGTCGCCGCCCCAGGGCCTTCCCAGCCGCCGCCCTCCTCGCCGTCGTCGGTATCAGACTCGGACAGGTCACTGAGATCCAGGCTGAGCCCCTCACTTGGATCCCCGTTTGTCATCCCCGGGTCCTGCTCATGATCACTGCCATCCCCCGGCGCCTCTTCATCGCTGTTGCCTCTTTCAAGCCAGTCGCCGCCAGAATCTTCGGAGCTGTGCACGCGTTCCCTGTCCTCCATGTGCCGCTCCCCTCGATGTTCCGGCGACCCCGGCTGGATCTCAGCTCCCGGCCTCGAATGGACCCCTTGCGCCTCCTCAGACGGCCCTTCTCCCCTGGTGCGAAGAAGTTCGGGTTCGGCCTCACGGCGCGCTGTGCCCGTTGCCATCCGCGCAGCCTGCCCGCTTCTGCTGCTCTCAAGCGGCGCGGTTAGTACCGTGGCTCGAGACTGCGACTCGACGGCGTTTTCTGCGAGACCTGTACCCGGTGAGGCTGCGATCTCTCGGACTCGCAGTTGGGCCTGCCCGCCAGTTTGGCAGAGGTCGGAGTAGGCCTGCCGGTCCAGCAGGTCCTTTGCGGCACTGTGAGGCTGCCACGTGTAGTGCAGCGGGCAAAGCAGCTGGGAGGGGGAGTAGGCCGCCTTGTACCGCATCTGGTGGACGGGACAGGAGGGGACGAGGTCAGCAGGAGGATGCGAAGGGCCTGACTAAAGTCAAGCTGATGCGGACAATTGTTCGGCAAATCGAGAAGACGGCTGGAAGTCGATCGGGGCTTGAAGATTGAGAAAGCGACTTTCTGCTCCAGCATGGATTATGAAGACACCCACACGTCAATTACTTGGATATACTGTCAAATTGCAGAGACAGCAGGATTGCGGATCAGAGAGGCGGCTCGCTTGGCCGCACCTTGGCGCAGTTGTGGATGTAGAAGCCGAGGTAGTAGTAGTGCAGCGAGGGGCAGGCCCGCTGCGCAGCGCGCACCCACTCAATCTCCTTGAGCGCCGACAGCTTGCCGAGCGAGAGCGGGGCGAGGTCGGGGTCCCAGAAGAGGTACACGCTGCTCAGGCACTGCGGTAGAACGTCCACCACGCCCACCGCCACCAGCCGCCCTGCAGCACAGCGGGAAAGAGAGGGAGGAAAGTCAGAAGGAGCCAAGAGGCCAAAGCACTGGACGAGCGAGCCCTTGAGAGGGCGAGGCCAATTCCCCCACATGGCTCATGGCGACGTATGGTATCGACAGCGACTTCGACTGGGCTTCGACTCGCCGCGAATTTCGGCCCTTAGAAAATGAGTCTCGCCCAATCGCAAGGTCGCCGAAACGACATGGCGCTCGACGCCCCTGATTGTCACGTTCGTGCAATAGATGATAAAATGACAAGTCAGATGGAAAAACAAGTCAACGATGTCTTGAAGAATTCAATTCAGTTCGCAGCGGAGACACGCAACATGACTACTGGGAGGAGTCGTGGCAACCACGTGCTACGTACGACGACAATCGGTCTCTCACGACAGTGTCATGAACCTCAAAGGTGACGTTTCGCGAAACCGCTGCTGCCACAAAAATCTCACCATCGATGCGGTACTGCTGGTGGAACGACCCAAAGCCGCCAAAGGACGCGTCCCCATCGGCGCGAGAGGAGGCTGCGTGCGGGGGTGGCACCAGCGGCGAGTCGACGAGGAAGCGGCGGTAGGAGCTCTCGCTGACCTCGTGGGGGGCGTCGTTGTGCACGCGAACCTGGTACTTGCGGTACAGCAGGAACTCCTGGACAGAAAAGAGAGAGACGCTCAGGCGGCGGACAGGCGTATGCTATTTCCAGCGCGAAAGCCAGAGGGTTCAGCGACAACCACAAGGGGGCAATGCACCCAAGCATTCTTGCGGGCAAACCCCTTTTCATTAGAAAGAGAAAGTTACGCAGCCAGGTAGAAACGAATAAACATGTCCAGGTTCTTGCTGGCAAGTCTGCACCTCCGATCCATAATTACGTTGGCGCCTTGGATTGCAGCTTACAACTCCCCTCGCTTCGAGCTTTGTCCTTTTCAATGAAGGCGAAGGGCCCCCACTTTGACGACAGGGACGATTATTGGTGGCAATGTCTTCACGCAACTGTCAACCTAAAAGTCAAGGCGCTCTAGGACATTTTGCAGGCGCCCCTCTTTGCCCACCTCTTTGTCGAACTTGGCTCTACTCATTCGCATTTCGAACCGTTTCCTTCTCTCGAGCTGGCCCTCCGCTTCCGCTCCTCGCTGGCCCTGCTCCCCCGGGTCTCCTCGTCCTGAAGTGCTTGCAGGGTTGCCAGTGCTCTGTTTAGCGGACCTGGTCCCGTCCGGCACCCCCGCTTCCTCGTCCCTGAGCCTCTCAGCGGACGCATAGAAGTTGAGGTGCCCCCGGCACGCTTCCGCCCTCCAATCCGCGTCTGCCGACCTTGCTCTCCTTAGCCTATCTGCCACTGCTTCCGCAATCGCCTCAGGACCGCTGGCAGCAAGACCAGGTCTGTTCCCTTCACCATTCCCAGTACTTGAATCCGGACATCCGTTTGCAGGCAGACCCCTTTCTGCTCCACCCTCTCGTTGCGCCTCTGCCGCCCCCTGCTTGCGAGCCCCCTCCTTTGCTGTGTGCGCAGCAAGCACAAACGCAATGTTGCATGAGTACAACAGCTCCTCCGCTGACTTGTCCCCTCCCTCCTGCTTCCGCTTGTCCAACTTTCTCCGCACCTTCTGCGGCACTTCCCTAACCGACGCAAGAACGGGGCAGGGCACGCCCAGCAGCTGAGCAACAGAGTCTTCAATCAGTGTCCCGATCTGTTTTGCTGGCGATATGCTCCCCGGCTTTTGTGAGCTGTCCGTTTGAGGGCCCCCTGCTTCCGACCTGTCGGGGTGCGGGGTTGGGGGTTCGACCAACTGCGAGATAGGCGCCTCGGAGGGTTTCTTTTCGATATCTAGTAGACTACCAAGGCCACGACTCCCGCTTTCAAGATGGTAGGATGGGGTTTGCCTGCCCCCATCAGCTGGCAAGCTCTCCACCGGTTTGCCCGCAGACTCTCGCCCCAGAAGTCCTGGATTTTCAAGGTCCCGCTTCCCTCTTCTTACACCACCAGACTGCAACCCTCCAGCTCCGCTTTCCTCAGCCGTCCTATCTCCTGCGGCTTTTCCACCCGTCCTGTCCTTTGAAGAGTGAGTAATCTCCAGATCGCCACTCAAGTACCTGTAACATTAAACAGGAGTACATAAGTCCTTGACCTTCTCTTGCTGCTTAAACGAAGAAATCAAAGACATTCGAGATTGTAGGCAGATAGGAATGCATTGGTAGGATGGATTCTCTTTTCATTTCTCTTGTCAAATGAATCCTAGCAATGCAATCGTTGTTCCACGTGTTGTTGATAATCGCAATCTAGGAGAGTGTCGTTGGCAACCCTGGTGTCCCTCCCTACGAATTTTGCATCCCTGGCTGGACCCTCAACAAAAAAAGCATCCCCACAACATAAGGACAAATGTACCCCTTTTCCACATTGTATGCCGGCATACCTTTCCAAACGGCGCAGGACTGCCCTCTGCTCTTTGTTGATTGCAAAATCATTCACGTCCAGCCGGATAGTGTACGGAGGGCAGCACGTGCGGTCCATGGCAGGCTTGTACAAGAAGTTGCCAGACCTTCGCCAGCCACGGTTGATAAGCTCTGCACAGCCACACTTGCTTATAACTGCACTAGACTTTTAGTCAGGAGTTCTCCTAGCTTCGTACTGCTCTCGAAAGGCCAACGACATGTGCTTCAAGTCAAAGACACCTTAAGCGAGTCCCGGCAATCAAGACTGGAATACATTTATATGCAGGGCTCTAGCTGAACATGCCTGGCTGGCCAGCTGTTATAAACCAGCAACCAAAAAAATCTTTTGTGTGCGCCTCTCTCACCTTGATAGTCATCCACAGACATTTGACGCGCGTACATGCCTGGATAAAAGAAGGGCATGCGAGTCAAGGAGCGGGAAGACGTTCAACAAAGGAAAGCAGAGACATGAGGGTGCTGCTTCTTTGTTCTGAACCGTTTGCCAACCTTTTGCCCACCCTCAACCACTCGGCCCCCAGGCAAATTCCCACAGAAAAAGCGGACAAAAAGCTGCTCAGAAATAAGCATCAGAAGAGGCAGGTTTCAGAATTATTCAGGGAAGGCAAGATGCTTAGAATCGGAGTGTCTGAGCTATCCACTTACTCCAGAACCCTTGTTAGAAAAGCGAGCCATCCATGGATAACGGACCTCAAAACCCTCCTGGAGAAAGTCAACACAGCTGCAGAGAAGACCCGAGCTCTCAGTGCCACACTTAGGTTCCCAACTGAAACATTTTAAGTCATCCATCTACGCTGCTGCTGCCACTCACCATGGGAGATGCTTGTCCTGCTGCCGCTGTGGCAGTAGCCGCAAGTGGACTTGTACAAGCCCTGGTCGTCCACTACACTCTGCGCCATGCTTCCGAGTCACCTGGCACCTCACACACAAGTGCAGCCAGCTGAAGCTGCGCAGGGTGGCAGCACAATGGAAGATTTTTGGCAAACCCCTAGTGGCTAAAATTGCCTTTTGTGCGCTGGTGAGAGCTCCTGGCACGAAGTATTTAGCTAGGAACTCCGCGCTTCCACTTCGAGGCACTCAACGAAAAGGGAGCTCTTCAATATTGTGCAGATTTGACAACTCTTCGTATGAGGAGGGTGATTGATCGCTGTGGGATGTTGCTTCCACCTGCACAATATCCTAGGACCCCTGGCAGAGCCAAATTTCTTAGAGGACTTCTTCCAACCTCCCCAGCTCTAGCTCAGATGGACCAGGCAGCAGAATGCGTGGTTGTGCCTAGGAAGCGTACCCTACTCTGCAGACGCCATTCGATGCAAGCAACCTTTTCTGTTGAGCAAGCTAGCGCTGGCAACGGGCCATGGCAACATACCCGCCAGCGGACAACTGGACCACGATGATGACGTAAGAAAGTTTCTAGTGAGGTCGGGTAGGCACTCCCCCAGGTTTCCGATCGCACGGCTAATGCAGGCTTATGTGGCTATCATCTGACTCATCGGACGGCAGACATATGCAAGCCCAGACTTTCGATCGCCAGTCGACATTTGAGACGGCCAGCTAATTAGATTCATCCCCGCTCTAGTAAAGCCCTTGTGGAGCATACAGGAGAAGCTTGCGAGTCTGCGCGCGTGGCCTTGGGCGCGCCAATGTGTTCTTCAATTGAACCACACGGACTCACACTGACAGCCCGGGGCCACAAGCTCGGACGACAATATATCAATGTTTGTTGATCTGGACTCTGCTCTGGAACATGCATCGTACCTCGTTCAAACTTGTGCATGGTGCTGATCACATGACTTCATGGTTGTCGCTGAGAATCCGGCCCTGCTGGAAGCCAGATTGTCCTCGAGACCCTATCATTGCTAGCAAGTTGCTTCGTTGGAGCTCGCCGGACAGTTTGCGAGATGGTAAGACTTGAATCTATTATGCAGAGGACGGAAATGTCGAGGATAAAATCCGTGAAAGGGGTAGAACAATCGCAGCACTGGTTCTCTCGGACAACCTCCAAGCCGACAAGCCGTCTGCGACTGAGGTCTGGCTTTGCATCTTGCTGACCTCGTCTCTTCGTCCATCTTGGTGGCTTGCAGCGCAAAGATTTGATGCGCCTTTGGTTTCAGCGCTTGCGAAAGCACCTGTTCGCCAACTCCCCACGCGCAGGTCCTCTCTTACCTCCGAAGCTTGTCCGAGTCTGCAATCAACTCGCCGGAGCTAGCCAGGGCAAGAAGCTAGCTGTCGCTGACGTTGAGGGAAAAGAAGCAGTCCGCTGATCGACGTGCGAGCAGCCAGCATGGCGCGTTCCCCGACGTACGACCCTGCTGCGGGCATGGGCGGGCTGTCCATTTCGGAGGGCGAGGGCGTGTCGTCCAAGGCGGCGCGCTTCCCCGTGCGGCCCAGCCCGGGCACAATCGGGCGAAGGGCCAACCTGTTCGCCAACCACTTCTTCGCCAGGTTCAAGCCGGAGCTGGAGCTGCACCACTACGACGTGAGGAACATAAGGTTTTTGGACTGGGTAGCCGTCGCGCATGTTGGGAAGGAGAAGAAAGTGGCTTTTTGCAAGGAAAGCATGGTGCACGCAAGAAGCAGTCAAGCCTGGGCCTTTGCAAACCTGAGAGGCGCTTCCGAAAGCAGCATGCACTGAACCCTTCGAAGGGGTTGTCAGAACCAGAGAGTTCAACTGGTGCATGGTCCTTTCGTAGGACGGGTGCACGTCCGAGGAAAGATTTCAGTATGGTGTTGCCCATTCTTCCTTCAGCATTGAGCAGTGTTGCAACGGAGGGAAAATTTTGGAAGCTTTTGGTCTTGCTTAAAAACGCAATGCAGTATCTGTGGGTGTACTCCATTTTGAGACAGGCCGTCAGTGAGGACAAACGGGTGATTGATGTCTCGAGTCAGCACTTGTGTTTGAGAAAGTATAGACTGTGCTTTCGAAGTTTCATGAGTCTCTCTCTAAGAATCTCGGAGGGAAGTCTCCTTGGATTCTCAATGGTTACATAAAAGGTTGAATGTCCTAAAAGAAAGCCCCTCTGTTCCAGACTCAGAAAGAAAACGTACTCTGAAGGTCCTAAGGCTTTGAATTTTATTCCGCTCGTGCATGCCGGCAGAACCCCTTGAAAATTTTCTTACGAAACAGCATACTTGAGGCTTTCGAAGTAGTTAGTTTCGTTTCCGCCCAATCATTATGACGACCTTGTCAAAGAATGTGTTCGAGGTCAGTGAAGTGCGGGCTGTGTTGTTCCGCAGGTGTCGCTGACCCCTGAGGTGACGTCACGCGGCGTGCGCCGTGCTGTGATCCGCGAGCTGGTTATACAGTACCAGCACACAGAGCTGGGCCGCAAGCTGCCCGTCTACGATGGCAACAAGGTGAGCGCCACGCAGGCTTTTCCACTTTCATAACACCTGTGCGAGAGACCTGATTCCGCGAAAATTTTCCCAAACTTCAGAAGCCGTACGTTCCCCTTCATGGGAACTTTCAAGTAAGGACAAGTCTATCAGACATTTTGAAATTTGGCGATTTGGAGGCCACGTCCCCACTAGGAAGAAAATCCCCTTCAATTTTGCCACTTCTAACAAAGTGTAGAGAGATATCGAAAAGCTCGCAGCTCCGAATTGCTTTTTACTGGTTTGGCTTCATAAGTCGCAATGCAGATTCTGTTCAGCAAGTGAAGCACGGTTACTGACTCCGTGCTACGTGCCTGGTCCGCAGAGCCTGTACACGGCGGGCCCGCTGCCGTTCCAGAACAAGACGTTCGACATCCAGCTGCCCGAGGAGGATGAAGGGCCCCGCGCAGGCGGAGCACCGTGAGTGGGACCATCAAGCTGACAAGTTAACAGTTTCTTTTACTCCAATAAGTTCTCGTGCTTTACAATCCTTGGTGCGGATTCGTTGGCTTTGCTAAAAGCAGGATCCAGTCCAAAAAGATACCTCTGAACTTCTTTCTGAAAGGTTCTCGTGAGGTTTTTGAACGGCCACTTCTTTCTGTAAGGTTCTTGTGAGCTTTGTGAGCGGCCTTCTGAATTTTGCAAATGACAGTGAAAGCCCTATCTTCTGACTGTGGGGATCCCGGTCCCTCTGTTCTGCGTCGTCAACGGGATCAAAGCTGCTTTCCTTGGGGTGCTGGCAGCGCGCGCGGGCGCGAGGAGCGCCGTTTCAAGGTGGTGATAAAGATTGCTGCGCGCGTGGACCTGTTCCGCCTGGACGAGTACCTGGCGGGCCGCCTGCCCGAGGCGCCGCAGGAGGCGCTGCAGGCGCTCGACATCGTGCTGCGCGAGCAGGCCACCATCAGGTAAAGCGTCGCAACGCCGCAGCGGGCCAACCGCTGCCCGCGGGGGACAGATGCCGCCGTTCTAGTTCACTTGGCAACTGTTCTGGAAAGTCTGCCAAGCTGTGCCTCACGTGAAGTAGAGAAGAAGAGGCGAAATGACGGTCAAAAATGAATTCCCTTGCTGCAGCTCCCGCTGTAGCAACCGAAACCTTAATTCTCCGCTCTGACATTGCAAGTAGGTCGCAACCGTTGAGGTTTGGATGAGGCTCCTGCTTTCTCTCCGATTCGCCCGTTTCACCGAGCCTTTTCTCTGCTGCGTCCAGGGACGTCCCCGTGGCCCGGTCCTTCTTCCACTCGGAGCTGGGCACTCGGCAGCTGGGCGGCGGCCTGGTCGCGTGGCGCGGCTACTACCAGTCCCTGCGCCCCACGCAGAGCGGCCTCTCCCTCAACTTGGGTACGAGAGCGGAGCATACCGATAAAGGAACCTCTTCCGGCAAGCCCGGCTTGCTGCAGCAATGCGCGAGAGCAATTGGCAGCATCCAAACCATCCTAATTGCTTCCGAGGATATACATTTTGGAATTGTTTCAAAGCCAAGCGCGTTTCTTCCTTCCTTTGCTCACCCGCCTCCGCTGTCCTGCTTCCAGACACGCTGTCGACGGCTTTCTACGAGCCGGTGGACCTGGTGGAGTTCACGTCGCGCATGCTCAACCGCAACGTCCGCCAAGTCCGCGCGCCGCTCAACGACGCCGATCGAGTCCGGGTGAGCGCGCGCACTGTGGCGCACATCCTGCACAGAAAATGGTCGAGAAGAGAATAGAAGCTTTCACGACCAGGCAATGCCAAGTCTTCTGCTGCTTCCTCTGTCAAACCAAGAAAGCGCAGTGTTAAAGTCGATTGAGAGATTGAGATTAGTTTTGGTCGCCATCGTAAAAGGACCCCGGTCCGGCTTGGTTCTGGTCTGGTGAACCTGTGTAACTCGATTCGTATGGTGGTGCATGCAGCTGAAGAAGACGCTGGTGGGCGTCAAGGTGGAGGTGACGCACCGTGGCGACGAGCGTCGCAAGTACCGCATCTCCGGGATCACCAACCAGCCCATCAGCCAACTCAGGCAAGACGCCCAACTACAGCTACTCTGCCGCTCTTTCGCAGACTCCTGTCTATTTCGCTTTCTTTGAAAACGCTTGCGCTGGGTTGCGAGCTGTCGCAGAGAAGCGAGTTCTCTGAGTCGGGTCTGGATTCCCCTTCCACTTGCCTCTTGCTGAGCCCCCGGGTGTGCCGTGCTCGCGCAGCTTCCCGATCGAGGGCCGCCAGACGAGCGTGGTGGATTACTTCCGGCAGCAGTACAACTACGAGATCAAGTTCGACTGGCTGCCCGCCGTCACCGTGGGCCAGCAAAAGTCGTCCTACCTGCCCTTCGAGGTCTGCGTCATCGTGCCCGGCCAGGTGCGCGCGCGTACAAGCACCTTCCAGGCAGCCGTGGGAAAAGCGAGCGCTCAAGTCACAGCGTCGAGCCTTCTGATTGTGCACCTTCAGCAAGACAAGACCATGGTTGTGCTGCGGCTTTTACAATGCTCTTAAGTGACGCACTTCAAGACAACAGCTACTTCTGATCGATATATGCTGTGACAGCAGCCGGTCTTCTTCTTCTGGCTGCTGACTTCGCCTGTGCTCTGCTGTTGCTTGTGTCCAGCGCTACTCCAAGAAGCTGTCGGACAAGCAGGTCACGGAGCTGCTGCGCGCCACGTGCCAGAGGCCGCACGAGAGGATGGGCGAGATCCAAAAGGTCAGAATGCGCAATGGCCAACCACCTACTGAACAGCGGGGATTGTGGAATGGCCTGCCTGGTCGTTCCTTATGATACAAGTGAGAGGAGGAAAGTCCCTGTATGAATACATAAAACTGCAAAAGCTCAGGACGAACTGCGACTTGCGCCATGATTAGATCTTCCTTCCGCAATCTGACGATTGAAGACTGGCTGCCTTGCATTCTGACTCTGCCGTTCGTTTTGGGCAGATCGTGGACCGCAACAACTACAACAACGACCCGTACGTCAAGGAGTTCGGGCTGCACGTCAACCCCAAGATGGCCAACTTCGACGGCCGCATCCTTAACCCGCCCAAGGTGAACGACAACCTGCATCCTTGAATCCGGCGGAAAGGTCCTGATCGGGTTCGTGGAGTAAGCTGTCCATTCAACCGAGAAGAAAGGAGCTGACTGCTATCGTTGTGAATATGCTTGCGTGTGAGTTCGCGTCCGACTCAGACGTAGCATTGCCTAACTTCAAGGAAATCCCGCTTTATTCTTTTTCGTCGTTCCCCTTGCTGTTCATCGTCTTCTGTTTCTGTCGTGACGTTTCGTTTTACGCTTGCCGTCTTTCTGCAGCTGGTGTTCGGGCGGAATGCGGAGGTGATGCCGGTGATGGGCACGTGGAACATGGCCGGCAAGGTAAGTTGTGCTTCGAGAGGTTGAATTTAATGTGATTCTTTCTCCCTGTCTCACTACGGTGTCACGCTCTCACGCGCACTCGTACCCACCTACAATAAAACCGTCCAGATCTTGCTTCGGCTGCTCTCGAGTGATACTCACAGAGTCCCTTGTTGCGCCTGACGTCACGCTTCGTTCTTTCTCGGCTGTGGTGCAGCAACTGGTGACGGGCAGCCAGTGCCCGACGTGGGTGCTCATCAACTTCTCCCCCGCGCGCTGGGTGGACCCGGGGACCGCCAACCGCTTCGCCACCGCGCTCGCCAACACCTGCAACCAGCTGGGCATCGTAAGGCCCTCAAAAATCTTTCTGGATTTGGCTGTCATGATTATTCTGGTGGATGTTAGCAACTTTTTGAAGCCGTCAAACTCAAAGGCCAGTATTGAGTTCAGGGGTCTACAATCTCCATGTCTGCTTTGATCAGTTACAGGATGAGCACGTTGCGTCACTCTTACGAACACGCCTTGCGTTTCCACTGCACCTGGCTGATGCGATCTCCCGCGCTGACGTCACGCAGCAAATGGCGCGGCAGCCGGCGACGGGGACGGTGGCGGCGGACCGCGCGCTGCGCGACCCGGACCAGCTGGCATCCACGCTGCGCGGGGTGTGCGACGACCTGCGCAGCCGCAACGGGAAGATGCCGGACCTCCTCGTCTGCATCCTGCCCGACATCGGGCCCTTCTACGGTCAGCAACGCGGGCCCTGCGCAACCATTGGCTAGACTTCGCGGGCTGCTTTTCAGTCGTCAAAATTTGAGCTGGAACCGCATATTGCAGGGCCCGAATCTTGATTTGCAACTGTGAAAAAAGGTGCTTCACCTTTCCCATAGAAGATGGAGGCTGGCAGAAGTCCCGTACCGTACAAGAATCGGTCCGTAAAGACAGTGGACAAAATTCAAATCTAAGTTCCTATGATGTGAAGCCTCCTTGATTGCAAAGAGCGATCTCAATCGCACTCTTCCAGAACATCGGGAAATCACACCAGGAAAGAACCTGATATTGAGATCTTTTTGTTCGTTGACTTCGTACTTAACGAACCGGGACTCTGAGCGCGCGGGTATGCATACAGGCGACATCAAGAAGGTGTGCGAGACGGAGATTGGCGTGCTGTCGCAGTGCGTGCTGAGCAAGCACGTGGGCAAGTGCCAGGCGCAGTACCTCTCCAACGTGGCGCTCAAAATCAATCTAAAGGTGACGGCCCCCCCTAACGGACTTGCCTTCGCGCTGGCTGCAGGTCAATCGATCTACACCCTAATGCTTGCATATAAAGTATCTGGAACATGGTGGTAATCCGAAACTGGCAAATGATCCGTTAAATGACGAAGCAAGCGCTCCGATCTGCCGAGATGCATCTTCCTTCGTTTCTGCAGCCACCATTTTCGCATATTTGCATCTGGAGGTTAAGAAGCCAGTTTCTCGTGCGCAATTTATCTTTGGTTTTTCGGCGCGCAGCTGGGCGGCCGCAACTTCTTGATGGCGGACGAGTACGCGAAGAAGCTGCCCATGGTGTCCGACAAGCCGACCATCGTCTTCGGGGCGGGGCTCACGCACGCGCACCCGGGGGAGGAGTCCGCCTCCATGTCCGCGGTGCGCGCGCGCCATCTGTCACCTGAGACACCTTTCCGTTTTGCCGGGATCCCGTTTGTTGAAATTTTTCCCACGAAAATGTTGGAAATTTGTCTTTGTAATTCCAAGTTTTGTGTGCGTATGATTACCCAAAGCTCTTGTTTCACGAATCCAAGAGGATAGCAATGGTCAATGGTCAATGGTCAATGGTCAGAAGATCTTTGTTCTGCCGGTTGTTTTCCATCTTCCAGCATGCCCAATCGCACCCTTTTCAACCGCTTCCCCGCCGTCTCTTCGCAGGTGGTAGGCAGCGTGGACTGGCCGTACGTAAACCGGTACCAGTGCCGCGTGAGCAGCCAGCCCGCGCGGCTGGAAATCCTGCAGGACCTGTACACGTGCAAGCGCACCGCGGGCGGCCAGATGCAGCACGGCGGGGTCATCCGCGAGCTGCTCATCGCCTTCTACCAGGCCACCGGCCAGAAGCCCGCGCGCGTCATCTTCTTCCGGTCAGCCCGCGTCAGCCGGTTCCAATATCCGACGTTTCGGCTCTCTGAGCTGGCAATAACTGATTTTGCGTGCTGCTCGAAGGCAGCCCTCAGGCCTGCCGTTCAGAAGTGCGGTTCTTAAGAAGCAAGTTGTGCATACCATTGAACACCACGAAAGCTTCAAGAATGTCAAGACGGAACGGATCTTAACGGTATATCTTTTCCATCGACCGGCTGTTCTTTGCGTGCAGGGACGGTGTGAGCGAGGGACAGTTCCAGCACGTGCTTATGTATGAGCTGGACGCGATCCGCAGGGTAAGACGGCTTCGCTTCGAAACGAGACTGGACTGTTTGCAACGTGCAGGGGGCTCGTCTGATCGAAAACATCTTGAATCCGTGGCGGGGCATCACGCGTATGAGATGCTGAGGAACTTTTGGAGGTCACTGAGAGCAATGAGCGCTTTTGATACGTCTCTGTTGTACGTCCTCAATCCTTCGTTAGATCCTATTACAATTGACACGTCACAGGAGGCACTTAAAATCCTTTGATACTATCTTTAAAAGCTGTCGAATCGAACTTCGGCGCTCTTCTGCAGGCGTGCGCGAGTCTGGAGGCTGGGTATCAGCCGACGGTGACCTGGATCGTGGTCCAGAAGCGGCACCACCTGCGCCTCTTCCCGGGCGACCAGAACAAGGACCGCAGCGGCAACACCGTGCCCGGTAAATATCGTTGAAAGGACATATTTCTTGTTGGGGAAAGAAGTCTATGCTTTTCTGCTCAACTTCTGATCATCTTTTCCTCCTGTTGAACAATCTGGCCTGTCTCTGTCTGCACGTTTGAGGTGATTCACTCTGAACCCCTGACCTTTAAGGGTTCGAGCATCGTTGCGTCGTCTTCTGCCGCGCTCACCAGTACCCAGACGCCCACTTTGCCGCGACCCTTCCCCCGCTGACTCGTGCTGCCTCCCGTGTGCGCGCGCAGGCACGGTGGTGGACACGACGGTGTGCCATGTGCGCGAGTGGGACTACTATTTGTGCAGCCACGCGGGCATCCAGGGCACGAGCCGGCCGACGCACTACCACGTGCTGGCGGACGAGAACGGCTTCAGCACGGACCAGCTGCAGAACATCACCAACAGCCTCTGCTACACCTACCAGCGCTGCACGCGCTCCGTCTCCATCGGTCAGCGCCGCGACCCAGCGCCTTTCGGTCGCATTCTAGACTCTTTGTGCTTCATCTTCCGACGGAGAATATGTTGTCTTTTCTTGTCACCGAGCAGTAAGTCTACGGCATCTTTGGAAGTGATGAAAACCGAGTGCGGCTCGGTAATTGCGGCTCGATCAGTGGAGCGCCGCGATCGGCGCGGCTTGCTGAGCCCATCCCTGGTTGGCTGATGCGTTTCTGTCCAGCTTCTGAGAACAAGTCAGGGGCTTGGGTGCAAGCTTTAGTTATGGGAGTTTGAGCTCAGAATATAATACGTGGTCGAGAGCTCAACGCCCCTCATTAGGCGAAAGCCTGAAGACATCATCATTCAGTGATCGTTTGATTCTGAAGTATCCATCCTTCTCCGAGTTTAGCCGAGAAGGTTTTCGTGGCGCGAGATCGTCTTGCACCATCTAGATTTCTAGGAAGGTCCTGCGAGAGACCAACAAAATCCTCACATCAACAGCTTCTGCACTCTTCTGCCATTAAGCCTTATCTTCTTGGCCTCACGATCGTTGTGGCGAGCATACGTATCCATGCATTTGTTTCAGTGGCTTCTTTCTGGTGCGCGCAGTCCCGCCGGTGTACTACGCAGGCCTGGGCGCTTTCAGGGCCAAGTTTTACCTGGAAGGCGGAGAAAGCAGTGGCGGAGAAAGCAGCAGCGGCATCAGCGCTACGGGGGGCGCCCCCAGCGCGCGCACGAGCACCGGCAGAAGCTCGCGCGCGCCCGCGCCCATGCCGCCGCTCAAGGAAAACATCAAGAAGACAATGTTTTTCTGCTGAGGAGAGTCACGGGAGGACCTCGGTCAAACGGTTTAGGAAAAGTTTGATGGGCTGTTTATGGAGAAAGAAGCTGATCAAGGATGAAAGGCTGGCATGGCAAGCAACGGATTACGCGGCGTGTGCCCTTTGTTGACCGGTCGGCCAGATGAATGAACCCACCGTAGCTGAGGTGAGTGTAGATCGTAACAAGTGAAAACGGGAGTCTGGGAGGGATTCTACTGGTACGTTGGTTTATATGCTTAATCGGAACTAGTTTCGATGGACTAGAAGCGAGTAGAAAATGGTGATTGGGTATGTGGGCCGTGAGAAGATCAGGCTTAACGAAGCAGGTGTACAGTTAGCCGCTGATTGAGTGGAAAGTTGAGGACACACGAGCTCGTACTGTGACTGGTCTTGTATACTAGATAACTTTGCCTGCAACATGTACATATTCCGCTTCTCTTTGAAGTCAGCAATTATAAATAGGTTCTTTGACGCGGGGAAGCATCGTGGACCGTTGGTTGAGGCTCCTCGACTAAGCAGCCAGCCCATTGAGGTGCAGTTATGGCTGCCACTTACTTTCAGTGTCAATGCTGTGGAAAAGGTTGAGAGTCAAGCCATACCTTCGCTTAAATAGATGAGTATTCTCATGCAGCTGGATGCACCGCAAATTCATGCTCTGCGGGAATGCAGATGATCCGATGGAGTTCACTGCTTGGCAGGTTTGGCTCTTGAATAGCCGCCCCTTGTTCTGGCAGCGAGAGTATGGATGCAAGCAGTCGTGAAAAAGCAGAGCTTACCTCGTGTATTCTTGAATGCATGTAAATCGTTCGCCGGCGCTGATCCTAAAAGCTTGTGGCGGTTGTATACGTGTACCTGAACTTGACTATAATATAATCAGTTCTTTGAACGCTCAGCAAAGGTTTTGCAAGAACCTTCGTGGCTGAACAACGGCTCAGGTAATGCAGAAACTGATAAAAGAGGATTGTAAGTTCTCCGATCAGAGTCTCGAAGTCCCTTTTGGCATTGTCTTGCCCTGGTCGTGTTGCGTGCGACGAGCAAGGCCTTGTTCACGCGGCAATTCTGAGGCGGGCCGGTGCGGCCGTCGGATGTGCCACGTGACAGCATCGGACGGCAGGACCTGGGTCCGCTCCACCTGCCCACAAAATGTGCGGCACAGGGTTGGACGCCTTTATATGGACAAAGAAGCCGCACTTCTGCAACGCCAGAGGCGTACAAGGGCTGAGCCTTAGGTCAGGGCCGCGCCCTGTGATAGGTCGGTAGCTGTAGGTTCCGGGCTGTGCCCGGTAGTCAGACCGTGTCTGCTCAGGGCCGAGCCCTGCTCAAAACACAAACACTTTTGCTGCTCTTCTTGAAATCCTTTTGTACCTCCATACAAGGATAGAGTTCTGAACAGTTGGTGCCGTCTTGCAGAGTTCTCGTCTATCCTGGATATTCAATTGATCGAGATACTTTCAAGCGAACAGAGCCTCGTCACTTGTCTGCATAATTTGACACCTGTCTCCTGAGTGTTCTAGCACAATTCCGCTGGCTTCGTGGTTTGCTTTTGTTCAAAGCTAGGACACACATATGCATTGATGATGCAAGAAGCCAGGGAGATTGATTTCTTGATGCACGAGGATGAACATCGACGGGCCCTAACATAATGCAGCAGGACAGCAAAGCCCCGGCCTGCTCCATTGCGCTAGTATCCTGGGCGCTGCTCAAAAGGGAATTCTCTTTGGTGCAGCGGCAGCCCTGAAGAAGTGCACATCCTGTGCTAAGAGTAGGGTCCAATATCAAAGCCCTGAGGATTTTGGTTTTGCTCGGGTCTGCTCGGGGAGATGGAAGAATTTTGCGGTCGACTAAGCATACCATCTGTCAGAACGGGTGGCTCGTGAGAACGAGACTCGCAGCCAATGGAAAGCAGATGCATTCGAGAATCTCTTGAGCAGGACATAGCTTGCCGGGCAAAGGCGCTTGCGTAAGCTTACGAAAAATCAGTTTGATTAAGGGTCTGCTTGAGTGTGCCCTGCTTAACAAGTGAGGCGGGCAAATGAGGTTTGAGAAAAGGGGCAGATGGTGTGTGAGAGGGTGGGAACAGGCCGGCTCTACCCTGGTGAGGGAGGCACTCCTGAGCAGGGCTCTGCCAGCTGGCAGCCGGGGGTTTTCCCCTTATCTATACAGGGCTCAGCCCTGCATTAGGAAGCTTTGCTTAGACGCCTCTGGCGTTGATTAGCTTGTGCTGGGAAACGAGCGTTGCATATGCCCTCAGAGAATGCGTCTTCAGGCTCGTGGGACTGGTTGTTCCAGAAGATCTTTGCCGTTCAGTCATGCCTGCAAATGGCAGGTCTGACGGCTCAATCAATACGACGCGCCCGCAAATGCGAGGACCGCTGCTCAAAAAAGAGGTTCAAGACAACGGAACCCCGTCTGCTGAGAAGGAGAAGAGGCGAAGCAGGGCAGGATGTTGGTGGCAGGAAGTTCTTAAAAAAGAAAATGTTCGGCTTATAATCCGAGCAGCCTCTTGTACGAGCTTGGGCTCTCGTTGATGCCCAGCGGACATGTCCCGCAAGATTTGACGCTCGAATCGAGTTCTTTTAGATGACGTAGTATTGTGGGCGCATCGAGGAGACTCTCTGCAGCTGGATCTACAAGCAAGTACGCACTCAGCCGCATTCGAAGTCAGTTTGTGAGTTAGCTTTATCAACTTTAGTGACCTGATTCAAGTGCTGAGGGAAGCGTCTTGGAAGTGCTTCACACGTCTTAAATTCTCCGGTTTCTTTTTGATAAATAATCTATGAAGGTACGGTCCGGAAGAAACAACGCATAATAGGTCAGGACTACAGCGGACCATGTGCTTTGAGGACCCGCGATTCTGTCACATGCAGCTGCCTGCTTCGCCGTTTCGTCGCGCAGGGTATCAAGTGCAACATATTTATCTACGACACTCAACTGATTTCGGCCCAGGCTGAGGCACCAGTCGAAAAGGCGATCCTACCGCTAAACGTTTCCATGCTATTAGAGGCAATCGAGCCAGCTGTTCCACTCAGAAATGCCACCTCAGATGATCGACTATAAGATGATTTTGGGAAATCAGACATTTGATTTGTGGTAGAACGGTGGTTAGAAATGGTCATGTAAACCATGGCGGCAGATTATTGCACGCCTTCAGATGAAGACCGCGCCAGCACTGCGATCCACCTCACTTCTGAATGTACGGTGCATTCTGCACATTACTTTCCGTACCTTACCGCCCCCGCCATGCGGAGAGCGAGTGGTGGCAAATTTGACGCCCGAGCCGGGTCAAAGTGTTGAGTATGACTTTCGGCCCGTGCGAAAAGCGTGAGAAGATATCACATCTTGAGGTATGTAGAGGTTCAGGAAATTGTACAAGTCAAATCATTAAAACCTACTGTACCTCCAATGGCTTTTGAGGCAAACATGATGTAAAGGCGCGCGTTGTATCGCGAGCGCGACTGCTCCACATGCGTTGATCAAAATGTAGAGGGTCCCGATGCATTTTCACACTACCTCTGCGTCCTATCACATCATTTGACTATTCAATGGGCCGATTTTAACCTGACACAGGTCACAGCATTCAAATGAGCACAATTGCTCGTAACTTCCAACGACATGTCAACCTCAACCTTACCACGTTTCCATCACTGCCGGCTTCACCCGTCTGCGCGGATCTGTACAACCGTCCTTTTAACTACTGCAATCAAACCCAATGCTCAGGGCTTTCTCGAGCCCCGCCACCCGGTGCGCTAGTCCTCGTCCTCGTCTTCCTCTTCCGCGTGCAGCGCCCGCTTGGCGGTTTCGAAGACGACCCAGGAGAGGCCGGCGACGGGCACGACCTGCGCCACCTGCGCGCCGACGCCCTTGTACAGCCCGGCCACGCCCTCCGTGCGCACCACGCCGCGCACCGCCTCCACCACGTTGCGGTACGCCGCGTTGGCCGCCTTGCCCGTCTCCACCGCGGGCAGCACGCTCACGCTCACCTGCGGGAATACCGGGACAAACGTGAACAACGCGCAGAGGAAAAATCGAGGATTCAAGGAGGATTTGCGAAGGCAACGGCGGCAGCAATTGGCAGGCTCTGCTTCGCCTGATCTGAGCAGCAGAATGAGGTTCCTGCATTTACTGTCTTGATTGAGAGGCGATAAAGATGGGTCTCGAATCATCAACGCTGAAAACCGTTCAACGCGTCCCCTTATGAACCTCTTCACCCTTAAGACATCGATGAACTCTTGAGCAATTTGAGATGCACAGGCCATCGTCAGGCAATACAAGATGCCGTCATAAAAAGTCACTTGGGGTTGCGGCGCGAGTACAGCAGCGGCGGACCGCCACCAGATTAGTGCGTACCTGCTTGCGGGCGACCTCGAGCGGATAGGTCGCCAGCTGGCTGACCGCCCCCGCCGTGGCGCCGAAGAGGAGGGTGTACCCAGCGGGGACCTGCACGCACGGGCAGAACAGACACTTCGATTGAGTTCTACCGATAAACAACCTAGACTGAGATTGCTCACACAGAAGCAGGCCAAGTAACAGTTGCGAGTGTGACGGCAGCTTCTGTCAGCGACAGATTACACTGGCAGCGGCGGCGCGCTCACGTGCTTGCGGCCTGTCCTCTTGCGGTAGCGCTCCTTGAGCGTGTCGTAGGTGTAGTAGTTGACGGCGGACTGCGGCACGATGCCCAGCAGCGCGGGCACCACGCCACGGTATAGCGCGGGGAGGCCGCCCTCGTGGAGCATCACCTCCCGGAGCGCGTCGCCGAAACCCTTGTACTTCTCGGGCTGCATAAGACAAGAGGGCGTGAGGGTCAGCCTGGGTTAGCATGAACGTAGTAACGGATGTCGTGAAGTCCTGGCTAGCAGTGTTGCTTTCCAAAGCCTATGGCCAAGACGTTGACACCGCTGGTATCGTTAACGTAGATGTCTTAGTACGGTGTGCTTCATTCAGTCGAACCAAGAGAACAATCGGCTTTACGAGCCCATGCCTCATAACTGTTTCCATTCGATTCATTGTGCCATGTCATTGGTCAAAACCGCCTGGGATGGCACGAGCACCTATGAAGAAAAGCTTCAACTGGAATTGAACGACCAGATTTCTTCGCTCTTCTTGCACCATCCGAAGCTGCTCCCTTGAGCTGCCGCACTAGCCCCCAAGATGCATTGCAAGGAAGCGGTTGGGGAAAGCGCCCAGAGGAAAGGCGACAACAGAAGATGCGAAACTGCACCTTAAGCAACACTCTCCGCTCACCATGACGAGGACGCGGTCCTTGAGCGTCTCGAAGGGGTACGCGACCAGCGTGTTGGCCAGCCCCGCGGCCATGCCCGCCCACGTGGACTCTGGCACCTGGCGCGGCAGCTTATCCAGCAGCGGGATCTGGTGGTCGCCGGGCCGCCCGCGCCGCTTCAGCTTGGCCTTCACCTTCTCGTACGTCACCAGCTGCACCAAAGAGGGATTGTACAGTTTACAAAGAGAAGTCGAGAAAGGACGAAGCAAGAGATTGCTGCAGAGGCAGGACACTGAGAGTCGACGAATGGCTAGCTTGAGTGAGGCCTCTGGTTGGGCGGCAGAAGAGAGCGAAGGACAACAAAATCCAACTAATTTTGTAGGATTATGAAGCTCCGAAAATAGGCCAGGCGATTTTTGGATCCACAAGGTGGCTGTCTCGATGTTGCGGATTTAGATGTTCATCGATGGACGACCTCAGTTTTTCACCGTGATGGAGTTTGCCAAGCAACAGGAATCAACGGAAAAGTACAGGAAGCTGAACAATCGATTTGTGGTCAGCCTTTTCATAATGTGAATTCAAAAGCGCTACTCTCGCTGGGGGCGCACCTCGACCGACTTGGTGAGCGCGACCCTAAGAACATTGATGCCGAAGGAGCCGGTGGTCTGCTTGATCGGCCAGTTGCGACCGCTCTTGCGGTTGAGCGTCTTGACCACTTCCTTCACGTTGTCCCCCGCTCGGCCCCCCAGCAGCTTAGTCCGCACCACTTCCAGGGGCGTGGCCGCGGTTTGGGCAATCGCACCTGCACACAACAGGCACGGCGAGCTTGAAGGCTTGCTGATCGACAGAGTAGAAACCATGTGAACAGACGTAGAAACAGCTGCGAGTGCCAGCAATTCCTTGCCTGGAACACGCTTCGAAGTACGAACAACACCCGGAAGAAGCCTTGTCGACAGCTCGTGGTAAATGGCAAAACGACAAGACTAGCACCCAACAAACACAATTCTGGGACGAGAGACTCGAAAGAGGAGCAGCTATCCCACCTGCAATCCCGCCTGCCAGTAGCTCCTTGACAGTCTTGCTGTGGATGCTGATGAAGGGCGTCTCCACGCGTTTTACTGTCACGCGCACGTCGTCACCCACCACGTCACGCGTCCGCTCCAGTGCGTGCTTCGCACCCTGCGCCACCTCCTGCAATCATTTAATGGGCCTCAGTGCCGCTCAATGGAAATCCAATGCTTGCGGGCAGGGCGGCAGAATTGATAATATGAGGCGGCTTCTTTGCTGGTCAATTGGACTATACCAATAACAGATTCAAAATACTCCACCGATCTCACAAACGTGGAAGAGAAAGTCACCCGTATCGGAGAAAATCAGAAAACATTCCGAGCGAACCTCTCACGAAACGTTGAAGCACCGATAGGATGTGCGGAACATTGGTACAGAAAGGGCCTGAAAACCTGGAGCCCTACCTCAGCTGTGCCCTCAACATAGCCAGCCGTGTATCCTGCGCCCTCCACTACTTTATCAGCGGCCCGGTCCAGCTTAGCCCCCAGCCCCCTCCCCGCTTCTTTGGCTTCCTGCGCAGTCCCGCTGACCACCCCTTTTGCGGCCCCCACACCCTCTGCTATCTTGTCCGTCCCCTCGTCCGCTTTCCTGCCCAGCCACCAGACTGGCTTGGCTGCGGTCCTCTTTGCTTCCTCCGCCTTTCTTGTGGCCGCTTCCCTCGTCCTCTCTGCATCCTCCTCCAAATCTTCAGCAGTCTCCTCGACCCTTCCCTTCAATTTCTGTCCTTTCTCGCCCACTTTATCCTTCACCTCCCCCAGCTTCTCTTTACTCCTCTCCGCCGCGCCCTTCACCTTCTGTGCCCCCCGCTGCGCAGCCTCTTGTGCCTGCTCCGCTTTCTCTGCGGCGGCTCGCTTGGCATCGTCCGCCTTCTCCGCTGCCGTCTGCTCCGCAGCATGAATGTTGGACCACATCTTCTGGGCGGTCTCCTCCGCCGCCCGGTCTGCTTTCTCTCTCTTCTCCCACCACTTGCCCTTCACTTCCTGCTTGGCATGCTGGCTCTGCTCTTCCACCGTCTCCTCCGCGCGCCGCGCCTTTTCCTTGACGCCTTCCTTGATCTGCCAGGCCTTGTCCCTCACCGTGTCAATCGTGCCGCTCGCCCGCTCTGCTACAGCATTGGCCCCTCTTTCAGTCCCGCGCTTGAGCCTGCTGCCTGTATCGGACGCCTTCTCAGCAACTGCGCACATGCACCAAAGACCCGCACTAATCAGGCACCATCAGAGGGGCATATACAGAAAGGAACTGCAGTGGCGCTAGGCCTGCAAGTCCCATGATGGAAGGGTGCCGTGGCTGGGACATCAGCGTGTATGGCAGGTCAGCATTTTAAAACAGTGTTTGAAGCAGCTACAGACTTTCGACAGGTCTAAAAACAGTATCAGAGTGGTTAACAATGCAAGCAAGGGCACTTATCATGACTTCCTGCCCTCAGCTTTCCTTCATGCACAATCAGTCAGTCGAATTCAAAAACGCCATGACCAAGATACCCCTGCACCGAAGACCAACTGTAGAAAGTCCTGAACAGCCAGTGCTTGTCGTCCACCCTCAGCATTGCCTTTTCACGTCTCTGCTGACTCTTCCAAGTGCGCGTTGTGCCCCACCTTCGTCCGCATGCTGCTCCCCCCTCTGCCTGCCGCGCTCTGCCGCACCGCCTGCCTTTCCCTTGAGGTGCTCCAGCTGCTCCTTGACGCCCCGTGCCTGCTCGTCTGCCTTCTCCTTGACGTGCCCTGCCTCGTGCTGCAGCGCTCCCTGCACTTCTTCCCGCGTCTCCTGCAGCTCCTCCCACGCGCGCTGTCCGTTGCGCTCCGCCTGCTCGTGCTGGCCCGACCCGCGGCCGATCCCAAAGAGCCCCATCGTTCAGGAGCTGGTGGCCTCGGCTTCTGCAGGCCTCGAACGCAGCTGGGCTCCGCTTTCGATCAGCGCCAACTGGGATGGCGATGACTGGGCCAGTCTGTCAGCGGTGCTTACGAACAGCTCGACAGCTAGCGCAAAGGCAGAACGAGCATGACCAGCTGGGGGTTGACGCCCAGGGTGGCAGCCAAAGCAGCCATAGCAGAGCAGCTGGCAGCTAGAGCTACCTGGCTCCGAACTGGAGGCCGACGCGATCATGCATGCATAATGCGCCTTCACCACGTCTTGACAAGTGGCAGTCTGACTTGGTCAGCCGAAAACATGCTGACGTGTCAACCGCTGACATGCTGGTAAAGTTGCAACTTGGCAACTTGCAACACTCAGGAGTCGGGTGCGTTCAGCCGGCGCAAAATGGCGGTTGTCCGCCTGCGCCGGCGCAATTACGTGATGGCATGCTCTTCCTCGAGCCAGCTCACAAAAATTGTAGCGCATGTGTAAACTTCTGATTTCTAGGGTTGCAAGTAGTGACCACTCTCCACTTCTAATGCTAGTCGAAGTGGGCCATTATACTCTTGAGTATGCATTGAAGCGTCCTGACACTATTTGCGCTGCAACTTTCTTGTTTGAACAATGGCTGCAAGCTGGTGTGTTCCCCTCGCCGGCGGTGGCCGCTGCTTGTCTGCTGGCAGGTGGCTGGAGCTGTGCAGATGGGCCCGCTGCTTCTCCTCTGCCCCGTGCAGCAGTCAGTCAAGGACGATTCTGAAGAGTATTCATGTAGCTTTGGAAACAGATGCAGCTTCTGCTGTGGATGTCGGTGGTCCGAAGTGCTCACAAGAGGCTGCAACTGGGTTGCATTCGAGTTGTCCTCAGGGGTTTGTGTCTAGTCAGGCAGGCAGGTGGTGGTCCTCCCGGCAGATGAGCAGCCATGCCACAGCAGCTACTGGCAAGGAGGGGCACGGCGCTGGGGTGAGCAAGCACAGCAAATTGGGCACCAATTGGTGCAGTTGTCAAGACAGAAAGTGTATCAGACGAAAGGATCAAAGCGCTTTGTTTCAGAAAGGTCTACACTTCATTTCGAAGTCAATCCTGCAATTGTGCCCCTTCAGTTGAGAGCTTGCTCTGGAGATGTATCTTTTTTCGAAGGTGGCTGGTTCAAGATTCACATTTTTGTCTCCGAGCCGCAGCTGACATCTTGATTGGCGTCTGCCTTTCGAAAGACGCAGCCATTTTGAACCAACAGATGCCACCATTCACCTTGTTTAGTGCCTCTTTGTTTCCCTTCGTTTCCAGGTCCTAGACTTCCCGGGTGCACGATTTTCTTTTGTGAACGAGCTGCACGTGGTGCCGGAATCGACGCCTACCCCCATCCCTTGCTATCGGGTGCTGGACGAGCTGGGCCAGCTCATCCCCGGGGCAAAGTACACCCAGGTCAGCTCGGGGGCGCTCTTGCCTCTCACCAGCACGGCAGGACCTTGGACCTCCTTTGAGGCCCCTAGCTGGAGTGATGCTGTCTTGTCATTTGCCCATCGCCCAGTCCAAGTGCTTCAAGTGGACTTCTGACATATAAGTTGGCCTTCTCTCAAACGGTGCGCACCGCGCGCCAGTGCATGGTCTCCAGAAAGCTAGGTGGTTCAGTGGTCTGACTATGCCCGCTCGGTGTTGGCTGCCAGGTGTCGGAGGAGCTGGCGGTGGCCATGTACCGCAAGATGGCGGTGCTCCAGTCCATGGACCTCGTCTTCTATGACGCGCAGCGCCAGGGCCGCTTCAGCTTCTACATGACCACCGCTGGCGAAGAGGCCATCAACATTGCGTCTGGGGCTGCCCTCTCTGACCTGGACACCATCTTTGCGCAGGTGGGACCACTTCTGGTCCAGGAGCTTGGCGAACCTTCATTACCTTTGAGTTGAGAAGTTTGTTCTGTAGTTTTGGATCGTCCCAAGACGATCGAAGCCGCATCTCAGGTCGGTTTTACTCGCTGCAATCGGCACGAGCTCCGGTTGAAGCCCCAGTTTCACTTTGTGGCCGCAGTATCGCGAGCCTGGCGTGCTGCTGTGGCGCGGCTTCTCCATGCTCCAGTTTGCCCACCAGTGCTTTGCCACCTCAGGGGACCTGGGCAAGGGCCGCCAGATGCCCGTCCACTACGGCTCCAAGGAGCACCGCTTTCACACCATCTCCTCCCCGCTCGCGTGAGTCGCTCTCACTTTCTGGTCGGTGGGGGGTAACCTCATGTGCCGACTTGTAGCTGTGTAAAGACCCGGCTCATCTTAAGATTTTCAAATGGATAAGCAAGCTTTTCGGAAGCTCTCAAAGCGTCTGCAAAACAGGTCAGACACGGCCTGCTTAGCGGAACGATCTGAAACAAGGTCTTGGTTTCTCTTAATCCTGTTTATGTGGAATATTTATAACCGTCTTAGATGCCTTTCAATGTGACCGTCTGCGCTGAGTGCTTTTGTTGGGTGCTCGCCGAAGCCCACATCCTCCAAACACGTAGTTTGCCTTTTTCGGCAAAACTGAACATCGCCTTCTTGCTCAGGACTCAAATCCCGCATGCTGTTGGCGCCGCATACCACGTCAAAATGTCCCCCGAGGATGCGTGCGTGGTGACGTACTTTGGGGAGGGCGCTGCCAGTGAAGGCGACTTCCATGGCGCCATCAACTTTGCGGCCACCCTCGAGGTGCCCGTCATCTTTGTCTGCCGCAACAATGGCTGGGCCATCAGCACGCCCGCACGCGAGCAGTATCGAGGTGAGGGGACTGCTTCCATCGTCGAAGAATAGCGCCCGAGAGATGCAGCTGCCCCGATGATGCGTGCACTGACCTGGCTTTGCTGGAAGGGCGGGCTGCAGCTCTGCCTAGAGCATGAGAGGTTCATCCATCAACAATAGAGGGTTGAAGAAGGTGGAATCCAATTGTCACAGCTGAATGCAGCAGGTCATGCTTCGCCGCGGTCCCAGTACAGTACGGTCCCTTTCCTCAAGTAGACTTGCGTAACTTATATCACCATGAGCGGACCGGAGGCTCTCGGCTTATTGAAACTTGCAAAGTTCATGGGGTGCTCAGGTTGACAGCCCTCCTCCCAACAACTGCAGGGGACGGTATCGCGGGGCGGGGCCAGGCATACGGCGTCCGGTCACTTCGCGTTGACGGCAACGACACGTTGGCCATGTACAGTGCGATGAAGGCCGCCCGAGAGATGGCGGTCACCGAGGAGCGGCCCATCCTGCTCGAGGTGCGGTTCGCCGCAGCTGGTCAACGCTCTCAGCCTGCTACAGTCCTCTGGTCTGTTTTCGAGCACAAAAAAAAGTATGTCGAAATGAATGATCACAGTCTTATCCATCCCGATTCTGACCAGTATCAGGGGGCTTTCGGCTGACGAAGTCGATTGATAACGACCGAGGAAAAGCAGCCAGCCCTTTGCATCAGCTTCTCAGTCGTGTCTGATGACAACTCCTGACGAGGTGTCAATTCCTCCGACTTCGGGCTGTCTCCGGTTGGCTGAAGTGCGAGGCCCAAGCCGTCGAAGTTGACTGGCCCTCGCAGACGACGTTGCACTTCTCGCTGCAGGCCATGACTTACCGGACGGGCCACCACAGCACGTCGGACGACTCGTCGCGGTACCGCGGGGCGGCGGAGATCCAGCACTGGAAGCTGCAGCGGGACCCCGTGGCGCGATTCCGGCGGTGGCTGCAGGGGCAGGGCTGGTGGGACGACGCCCGCGAGGAGGAGCTCAGGAAGAGCGCGCGAGCGGAGGTGGGGCGCGCCAACTTGAACAGCCCAGCGGCTTAGCGCTGTGGGCTGGAAGGGTTCGTCGTTGAATTTCAGGAACGAGGGGGTCCGGGGAAGAATGCAGACTGCAACAGGCGTGCTAGCATGGCGTCGACCTTTTCGCAAGAGTCTATCTTCTTTGACGAGGTGGCTGCACGCCCCAACCTGTTCAAGCCGATCATTGTAGATGCGACGGTCACCACTTACGTCCTTGCGTAAGATTGGCAACGCGAGATACACATCTAAGCTGTCCGAGTATCTGTGTAGGTGATTGCGGCCTTGGACACGGCGGAGGCTACTGACAAGGCGCCCCTGCGTGACCTGTTCACGGACGTGTACGATGCGGCCCCGCCCAACCTGGTGGAACAGGAGCGGCAAGTCCGAGCCCACGTGGCAAAGCACAGGGCCGACTATCCGGACAATGTGCCACTCGACTGACCGCTCAGGCTCGGGACAGGTATGTACATAGAGCTAGAGACCCTGCGGGAAGGTAGCGACCAGCAACCGGAGTTCGTGCGTAGTACACAAGTGCGTTGAGTAGCATGGGAATGCGTAAGGGCAGACAAGCTAGAGCAACGAGTATAATCGACCGTCACTGACATCCTATTGCAGGAGATTGGTCAACATGAGCGTGCAATGATCATGTTAGGAAGCTGCAAGCACGGGTAGCAGCTCGATGGTCGGGGCTTGGACAAAAAATGCCATTGCAGTCAGACATACGTTTCAACTTTAGTGCCGCGCCACAGTCTCTAGAATCCGGCCGCTAGCATGGCACAACCTAGTACGTCCCATGCTTTGCAATGCAGTATAGCAGATGAGTGCCTCGAGATGTTCAGTATTTGTGTAACGCTGCAACGCTGCAATATGCATGTTCAATATTGCTGACATGTTTCTGAAGAACAAATTCCTGATTGGACATATGTACGCGGGCGCTCCTATGAATCAGCTCTGCGGCTGACAATATTAATGGCCGGGTTGTTTGATAGAGCTCACGCAGCATGTACCGCCGTGCATCAAAAGTCGTTTAGATGGACTTGACTTTTGCCCGGGTGCATCATGGAACAGGCTGTCGTTCTACTAGACTCTGCCCAGATGCAAACAGATTCGACCAATGATTGTGAAGATGTACTGTTTCACCAAATTAAAGCTCTGTGATTGGCATGCTGTGAAGCATGTGCGCGCGTGCAAGCCAGTCTGACCACGACTATGTCGAACCGCAACTTAGGTAGGATTAGATGACGCTAAAGCTGGACCAGAATAACCTTTGATATGCGGCCATCGTGCAGTATTTACAGGGTTTAAAAGGACCGAAACTACCTGGCCCAGGATCCCAATATGAACATACTATGAGGAGCTGGGCCGTGTAAGGACCAGCTATACATTCTGCTCTACAAGCTACATCCTACAGAACTAACGCGTCCTCGTCAACGAGATTCGTCGAGGCTACTGAACTCCGAGATGTTGAGGATATGCTTACAGAGATGGTAACATCTCCACGGCGCCCACCGCTCTAAGCTACATGCCGGGCCTGCAAAGCCTCTGCCTCCCGCTTTCGAAGTAGGGTCGAGCTCACCTTTTCAGTGGACATGCTGTCTCCAACAAGATCAACAACGACCACCTGCAGAGGGGTCTGGGGAAGTCAGAGTAGTCCCCGCAGATCAAAAGATGCAGTAAAGCATGGTGCGAATTGTGCATTCCAAGATCCTCTCAAGATTCTCAGTTGATGCAGATCCTGTCCAACAAGCAGCACGTAGCACCTTGGGCATGTAGCTATCTTCTGTTTAGCTTCATTTGGCAAGGTGGTACAATAAGAGACATTGCAAAGCAATCAATCCGTTTAAGATGAACATCCAATGGATTCCACCTGACAAAGCCGAAATGACGGACGTAGAAACGGCTCACATGCAATGTCGAAAGGCCCTTTTCAGCTCGCTTCTGATTGACTGCGTGCCCTCCTTTCTCAGTCTCTTTACTGCAAAGGCAGGGGCAAAGAATGAGTCTTCTGCAGTCTACTGCCCAAAGAAGGGCGCCTCGCTGGCTTTGACTACCCGGACAATATCCTCAGAAGTTGCAGTTGAGGAGGAAGAATGGTCATACTGTATGTGCTCCTGTCGGCGAATCCGTAGATGGAGATCTACAAAGCGAGATGGAATCCTACAGAGCCAGGTCCAAGACTCCTCCGCAGACTACATGGTTACATCCTTCCTCACCTGACCACAATGGCCCCAAGTCCTTCGTCAACGATAGAAGGCCCATAAGGATCCACCAGTGGTTCTGTTTGCACCAAAAGGCTGCTCTTTATCGACTGTGCTGCAATAAACGAGAGCTTGAACTTCTGTTTGGCCTCTTGGACCACGTTTACAGAGGATTTTTGCACCCTTCCCACCACCTTAGGCTTTCGATGTTTCTCACACATGTTCCTTCGGTTTGATAGTAATCTACTTTAGCGAGAATGTCACTCGTTTGGGGCAACATGCAGTTGCGATGGAGGCTGTGAAGGCAAGGAGATGAAAACATGACCGGGCATGGAGACTGGAAGCACGTGCCTTGATGTATCTTTCAACGCTTTGTCGGCGTGTTTCCAAGGGCTCAATCAACTTGGCATACTGCAAGAACGTCGGTCGTGTCAGTGGCAAGTTCCTCCCCCGGGGGGCATTCGACGGTATTCTCCGAGGCCTAGTGTCTGCACTGGCTGGCTCCGAGCTAATCTGGGAAGAATGGTTGCTGAGCAACAACACAACACGCTCGTTTAACTTGGGCCAAAAGAATCATAAGCAAGGGCAATGAAACAAGAAAGACTGTCTGGTCCTCACCTCTTTATTCTCCAAGAGAGGCCCTGTACTGACACCCACAACGACGCGCTCTGTTGCAACGTTGGCAGCAGCCTGTCAACAGCAAGAACACTAGGGCTGAACGAATTGAACGAACTCTGTTTGAAATTTGAGCTAGTGTAAATAAGCACTGCATTTCAACGATGCTTTGCGGCAACCTTGTGGACCAAAAGAACATCAGAAGCTTTTCTTGTGGGCAGGTGCGCGTACAAGTGAAAAGATCAACTCTTAGATCATCCAACTGCTTTAACATTAGCCAAAAAGCAGGTTTATGAACGGAGCAAGGCGCACCTTAAGAGCAGAGGGTCTGCCTTGAAAGTTTCGCGATGCCATACCTTGAGAAGAGCTCGATGACCATCGTGCAGATGATCAAAAGTACCTCCCAGCACAACAGCTCGAAAAGTGTTTGTTTCTCCAGAATCGAGGTTGGAATCCACCATGACGATGCTGAACGTCGCTGCAGCAAATCAAGAGGACGGCGAACCACCACCACGGCATGCAAACTCCTCTGGATCAGTGGATGCCTACCTTGCTCAGGCTGCACTCTCGAGTCCAATGCCGTATAGCATCGCATGCGTCTCCCCTGCCAGCCCTGGATGGACATTGGACTCCCGACCAACCTTTCGAGACCCAGCCCTTCTGTGAAAATGAACAGCGCTCTCTTTTAGACGGTCCGAATTGCCCGATGGGTTGAGACTGGACATATCTGGCCGTCCCTCTTGGGCAACGAAAATGATTCAACGGGGGTCCTAAGTTTGTGGGAGTCTGCCGGCCCGGGGTTCCGTCGGTACCTGCAAACGTACCGCTTCATACTGTACGGTAGTCCAAGGCTGACTTTGAAATTCCGCCCTTCGAGCTTGCATTATTTAGGGTTCCGAAAGTCGGGGCCTGCATAGGTACCGGTACTACATAGGTACCTAGGTACATTATAGCCCAGTGCCACTTGCATAAAAACCAACTGTACAGGCTGCGGCGGCGCTGGCCTGAAGAAACACACAGCTGTTTCCTGTTGCTGTACAGAAGAGCTCACCGTTGAGTCACGGAATTACGTACGGCTTCTCCATTCCTGCCGCGAACCGTTTATTGGCGGGCTCGCTCATCAATGCAACCGCCTACCAACTTTTGCCAACTGTCCACATTGCTGCCAGAGATGCTGTAGGTATCACCTGCTGGCGTCAGGCTTGGCGCCACCATGGCCGTGGCTTGAGCGGCCGTTCGCTCCCCCTCTAGCTCCTCTTGGTTCGATCAACATGGTGGTGTCCTTGGCGGACAGGGGAGAGTGCAAAGATCAGCTGCCTGAGCCGCTGCACATTGCTCCCCTTTGACAACTCTCGACCCCATCTGAGGTAAGCTGCACCCTCACGAAGTCTGCGGGATGCCCCCCTCGTCTCAGTATCATATTCGTATTCCTCTCTAGTGTCAGTGGTGTTGGGCTCGAAATTGTTCCACCAATCTGGAAAACTTGGGTTTTGATTTCTGGCGCTTCCGGTCAGCGTGTCTTATGGGCAAGGTTCTCAATTACGTAGCGCAGAACCACTTGGTTAAGGTCTTTCTGAGTGTTGAAAATGCAGACCTTTAACCAATGGCGCATTCTGTCTGATAAGAGTTTGCGGTCAGTAAACAGCTGAATATTCCCCTATTCCATGACTGGTCATATCTGCAAAATTGAAATCTGTCTGGCCAAGCCGGAGTCTTCTAGACTCTAGTAAAAAGTATTGGACCAAAATGCAGTAGATCTTCTCATTTCCTTCAAAATGTGGACTTTAGATCATAGTCAAGATCCATTCACATACCAACTGTCAATCCAAGCAGCTTTGACCTGCATGACCACTGTTTTCTGTTGAGTCTGACCAAACATTGTTGACAACAGCCATACTTTCGTGCAAAGTATGGATTTGGGCATGGTGGTTAGAATTGTGCAACTCTCGTCCAGGTGATGATGTTGCAGGAAGATGTTCTGCCACATCCTTGGTGAGGACACCAAGGATATCACCTTGGCTTCGCAATAGGCTTTCTCTAGGTCCCAGTATCTGGTCCAAAGTGGCATGAATTGGTTGCTCGCCTTTGAGCCACTTTTGCCTTTCTGTTGTCACCAGCCAGATGGAATTGGGTATCTTTGGCATCGAAAATGTTACAAAACCCAGTGTCCACGCCGTTAACATGCGTTGCACTAGGTTGCAAGTATATAGATCCATCTCCTAGTTGTTCTGAGACCTTATTCACAGCCCCTGTCTTTTGTGCAGGTCTCAAGGTGGTCCCTCCTGGTCATTTGCATCATGCAGGGTGCTTTCAAGCCACTCTGGCTTGAAAATCGGACCGCGGTACCGAACCGGTAATCCCTGCGGCCAGCTCCAAAACTGGCGCTCCTAGAGGATGTCTGATCAAGGCTCACAGGGCAGTGTCTCTGGGAGTGGTTACGATGGAGCATTCGCCGACTCCCTCCTGCGCAGCTGTGACGAGGAAGCTGCTTCCCTGCAACATGTGCTGGGGGGCCCTCTACAAGTATCAGGCTGGACTTTGGGAGCCAGGCTTGGGGAAATGCAGCCAGGTGTGAATCTCAGCGCTCCCCCATGATTAATCGGATACAGTTGCATTAGGAGAAGGATGTTCTCTTGGAGCGCTCTTTCATGGCTTGGGTGTTTGCAGTGGTGAATCGAGGGATCCTCTCCTCCGCCCAATCTCCTTGAAATGCTCGCTCCAGGAGTTCAGAACAGTTGGTGAATCTACTTTGAATAGATGCCACTGATGCGCACTAAAGTGCAGTGCCACTGCAGCGATCCTCAAGCTCAGGCAGGACTTGCCTCTCTCCCCTTGGATTGCCAGTGTGCAGGCGTCTCACCGGTGTGCGCTGTTTTTTGAAGCAGGTGGTGCAGATACTCTGCTGTTGCCCAGAGGAGCTGTGAATGCTGGGGTGCTGCCGCAGCATGGTGGGGTCGGCCAATTTGCAGAGACAAGTGGGCAGGAACCTTTGGCTTATGTAAGCATGACATCAGCATTGCAGAATTGGACTGCAAGGTCTTCGGTTTTTCTTGTCACGAACCCACTCTGTATCTTGCTTTTCAGGGCTGCAGGCTCAATGACAGGCAAGGTAGAACTTTGCTATGAAGTAGACTGTGTTCCTTGCCAGGCTGCTGACAGCGATCATGAAAGACAATGGACTCTCAGCTCCCAGCGTGGAATCAGGGTTCTTATCTGAAATGCAGAGTTAGAAAGGAGCCCGGTGTTTCCTGTGAAAGGCTGTCCTTCAAAGCCATCTCTGTGTCCTCATGCCAGGTCCGCCAGTCGACGGCTAGCCAACTTCAGCCGGGACCTTGCGATCCAGCTTTCTTCTCCACCGGCAGTCCCGACGTTCACTGGGCCAGCACGTCGAGCAATCATGCGTCCCAGGGCTTGGGGCCCGTTAAGCAGCTTTCCTTTGGGCCTGCCTTAATCCACGCAAACCTGCCCCTAGAAACAACCCCTCAGAGCTGGCTCCAGCCGGAGAAACACCTTCGGACGAGCCACAAAGCAGATCTGGCAGCAACGCCCCTCTCCCAAAACCAGTTGCGCAGTCCTTCCTTGGATCTTGGCTGGAGCCTGCAATATGGCTCTTTCTCTCAGGCTCAGCGCTACAACCCAGTCCGGCAACACCTCGTTGCTCCAAAGACAGGCGTGGCCACAAGCCCTGAGAACCGGATCCCCATTTGGCAGCACGAGGGTTCACATGTCCAAAGTGCAGCCTTTACAGGTAGGAACGTGTGTACAAGCATGTTTCATGTGCTTCTGAACAGTGACATAAGGTCCACTGGACGTTCAAAAGACCCCCTATTTGAGTCCCACGAAATTTGCAGACCAGTTGCTCAGCATCACCTGACTGGGACGGTGCCACATCCTGTGTGTCTGGATAGTGTTGCAGAGCAGTCAGGGTTTTGTAGGATCACCACTCTCGAAAATTTGGCAAGACGTTTCTTAAAACCTCTCTTCTGGCACTGTGTATTGTAACATGGGCTTAAGAAGCAAACTGAAAGAGGGGTTGTGAGAAAGCTGGTAGAGCCAATTGCTGTAAACGTCGATCCAATAATACACACGAAGGGTTGGTTTCTCTTGTGCAGACGTGCGGGGGGAGCAGACTCCAAGGTCTGCCCCACAAACGCCTATCCAGAAGGACAACATAGCAGCAGGGAGGCAGCCCCAACATGCCAAGCCAAGTCTGTCCAGCGCTCCACAGGGGCGTCACTACATGAGCGCAACATCTCTGAGCTTCCAGGGGCACCCATCTCAGGTGAGCAGTTTCACGGGAACTTTGCACCAATGTGTTCAATCATCCTGTCATGTAGTCAATCAAAGGCTCACCCTTTTTCCTGGGGTGCAAGGGTACAACTCAGGTAGGGGTGCAAACATATAGCCCCTGAGTTCCTGGCTAGTTGAAGGGTCTGAAGGTGTTCCTTTTCTTGCAAAGGACGGTGTTTTCAACTGCATCAGGTACTCCTTTTTGCTGGCTGAAAGCACCCAATTGTCTCGTGTAGTCAAAGTGATCTTTGTGCCTTTTTCACTGAGCAACAACCGGCTTCCTCTGTCGCTTTCGAAGCTAAAGCAAACAAAAGTGGTCTCTACCTCTCAGTGCATGGTACATAGCCCTTGCCCTTACCTTCTCGCTGTGTTCCTTTGGTTGCCCCCTTGCCCATCCTGTCCTTTTCTGACCTTGTTCGATCCCCTTTCGTCCAGGTGTCCCTGCAGCCCCTGCGCGACCAAGCCGAGCACCTGCTGCGCAACCGCCTGGTCCATCAGTCCGCCCACCGCTTTGAGGGCGGGCGCATCGGCCGGCGGTGGGAAAAGCAGGAGAACCGCGAGAAGAAGCTGCATGCGCAATCTCCTGGGCCACTGCCCCTCAGCTCTCCACCACCCCTGGCACCGGACCTCCACTCGCTGCCCCGTCGGCAGCAGGCCCCTCCCCGTCCCCCTGGCCTGCGACTAAACGCCCTCTTCCAGGACAGCACTCCCGCCATCCCTAAGCCGCACCACGCTAACCTGGCCGTCAAGCAGGCACACGCGACAGAGTTGCGCTACTCTTCACCGGAAGTGACGCGACAGGGGCCCCCCGTGCCTCAGTTCAGCCAAAGGTCAGATCGCAGAGCTCCGCTGGCGCAAACTGGGGTGCCTGCAGGTGACGCGCTGTGGCAGTCTGGGGTCAGCTCGCTCCAAAACCAGCAGGGGCCGGGGCACTCCGCTCATTGGCAGCCAGCGGAAGAATCACTGTGGAGCAGACAGCAGGCACCCGTCGTGACGGTCATTGGCGCGAAGGAAGGGCAGGGTCCGGCTCTGAATCTAGGAGACCGCTCTCACAACTATGTGGGTGGTCAGCACTCACAGCGGTTGGTTAGCGGCCAGGACATGGACGTCGGCCCGCACTGGCACGCCGTAGCAGGAAGGTCCGATAGGGGGCCCAACCCGGACTTGGCGCATGTGGCAGGCGCGATGCACAGCCAAATGCAGCCGAGCACCCATCCAGCCCCCCAGATCCCCCACGTCCCCCAGGAAAGGGGTCAGAAGGACTCGTTCGGAGCGGACACGCCAGCCACGCGGGCCCTCCAGTCGCAGTTGTCGAGCACACAGCGAGCTCTCGGCGGGGCCAAGCATGGTGTCTGGCGCAGTACTCACCCTGCAGGCACGGTAGAGGACCTGTCGGGGCCGGAGCAACGGAGCCCTGTTCAAAACACGGGGGCCCTGGACACGGCCGAATCGTCCGCTGAGCACGTGCCATCCCAAGCGACCCGGCAGCGGGGCCGAGCGCCGAGGAAGGCGGTCCGAAAGACGACGCAAGGGGGGACGCCCGAGAAAGTCGAGCTTGTTGGCGGACATGCTGCTGTGCCGGAGAGCAGCTTGCCTTTGAGGACAGGGGCGCCGCAGGGGTGGCTGGGGTACTCAGACGGAACGGGCGTACTAGGGATAGAGTCGCACCACGAGTTGTTCCCGAAGGACGACTGGGAGGTGAAGCCGGTCGGCGAGCAAGGCCTCGAGGCAATCGCGGAAGCGGCGGAGTACGAGGCTGTGGACCAGTATCCAATGGGCAGGTTTTCGAGGGCGAGCGCGAAGTTTGACCAGGCGTTGGGGTTCGAGAACGTGGACGAGTTCGGGAACGAGGTGTCGGAGGGCAAGAAGAGGCCGCGCGGCGAAGCAGAGAGCGAGACGGAAAGAGCTGCATATGTATCCAGTGTCGAAGGTCAGGCAGCCTCAGTGTTTATCGTCTCCTGATAGTTTCTCTTGAACTTGACTCGCGAGGCCATTCAGCGGGCAGCAACGTCACCGACGGCTCTTTGTCTTTCCCATCTGCGCCGGGACTTTGATTTGGTGTGAGAAACTTGAGCAGGAGTGCCCCTGGCTGATGGCAGGTCGTTCTTCGGTCAGAATGCTTACGAGGAAAGCCTGACGTCACTTTTCTTCCCTGCAGCTCTGAGTGGGACCAACGCTGCTGCTCGAAGCCGGATTGCCTGCGAATTGGAGAAGCAGGCAATCATTCTTGCCCTGGAGGAAGGTAAGAAAGCGCTATTAGGTCCTCGTTTGAGACGGGGACGGTCTCGTTTGCATTACGGGTGCGTTCGTCGTGTCGCTTAGCCCTTCTGGAGATTCTAGATGTTTCTCTCTCTCACACTGCAGTGGCTGGTCAAGCGCTTGTTTCGCTGGTCAAGCGCGTCTTCCGTTGTCCGTTGTGCCTTTCCTGACGGTCTGCTTGGTCCACATGGGCCTGGCTACTTGCACCTCGTACCTAGTTCGGAACCCCTTGTACAGATTCGACGGGTCCAGAGCTTCCATTTAATTGGCCCCCGAGTTCCCGAGCTGACGTCAGTGAGTCTGTGCACGGTGCAGGCCACGTGGTGAAGCGCATCAAGCTGATGGGCATCCTCAGCGGCTCTGCTCCTCGAGCAGCTCCCGAGCCTGCTGCGTCCTTACCCTCTGGCGCCGTCTGCCCTCATGCGGGCCCGGGGCCAGCACGAGGCGATGCAGACGTGGTGTCCGAGAACGGAGGCCCTTTTCTGACTGGGCCTCCTGTGAGTGGGACGGAGATGCCGGGCTTGCAGCCTGTTGTAACTTACAACGACGTCACAGGAGCCCCAAGGACTGGGCGGGATACTGTGAACGGAGGGGACGGATCAGAGGGGCATGTGGGGCCCCCGCAAAAGCCGCTAACCTCCGCAGTGCCTACAGCCGGGGCTCCTTTCTCTGCATCGGCACAGCAAGACGCGACCCCCTTCGATCGCGCTTCTGGCCACTTTGCGGTCCCGAGCGATCCTGGTCAGCCGACCGCACACTTCTTTGCGGACGTCCAGGACGCCATGTCGGACAGCGAAGACAAGGAGAACATCCGGCCCAAGGAGGACACGGCAGCCAGTGACGACATGGACTTCGAGACGGACCTGGACCAGTCGCCGCCGCAACAAGAGCAGAGCGGCAACGCGTCGCCGGTGCTGCTCACCCCCTCAATCGGCGAAGGGCTGGCCCACTCCGTCGGCAACGTGGTTCTGTCCTACGGAGCAGGAGCAGCCGGGAGCTTTGCCGAAGGCATGGTGCTGCAGAGGCCCGTCACAAGTCCGCTCGGCTCGAGCGAGGAGATGGGGGAGGACGATCCTTTGTTGGCGCTGCAACCTGCAGCCAAACGTCACAAGGCCGCTCACCTTCCCCAGCCGGTGGCGCCCAGCACCCCTGCTGAGGTAGCCACCAATGCTGCCTCCGTGTTTGGTGCCAGCCCACCTGCCGACGCGTGGGAGAAGCACGACAGCCCACCCCTTCGCTCGAAGGTGGTCAAGTGTCTCGTGAGCCACCCCCTGACGCCCCCCAAATCGTCCTTCCCGTCCTTCCCGAGCCCCGCCCACCAGACCTTGCCCGTCGTCACCCGTCGGTCGTCTGTCTCCTCACGAACCCCCTCACCCCCCGGCGTCAAAGCAGGAGGGGTCCCCTCCCCCAAGTCGTCCCCCGACAGGATGAGGCCCGCGCTTTGCTCCGCCCCTTACAACCTGGGGTCGCCCACCAAGAGCCGGGAGGGGCGAGGCCCCTTCTCGTCCCCTCAGAAGACGTCGCCAGGGAGGAAGACGATCCCGTCCCCCGCGAAGAGCCGGAACTCGACCGCGAGCCCGCCTAAGAAGGGCAGCAAGGGGTCGGGCCCCTCGTCGAGCAGCTCACGAAGCATGGGCCCGTCTCCACCGAAGTCGAGCCCCGCGAAAATGGCAAGGTTGATCTGACGAGGTGTTAGCTGAATCGCAATCGCAGATATCTGTAGAAGGTAGCAGCGTTGTCGAAAGAAGCCCAGATGAATGTTGAACGAGCGCCAACCCTAGTTCCTTTAATAAGGAGTAGAATCGCAATCGTCAGCCGAAGGCTGTACGAACCTCGCTTAGGCTAAGTATCAGCCTAGGGAAAGTGGCACTCAGAGCGCCTCTAGTGTTACTCTATGCCCAGGATCAGCTCACCAGCGAGAGTAAACGTGTTGGCCTAGGGTTTTTCAAGCTTGCAGTCTAAAATAAGTTGCGTTGCAAGTGGACCGTATATGCTTGATGGAACCTCGTATGCGTTTGAAGCGCTGAGGCCATTGCGTCATACTGGCAACGCTCACTTGCACTAGAAGCCGCTTGCACTAAGTCACATAGCTCCCGGGCAGCCAAACTAATATCCTAACCGCGAACAAATCACGCTGCGCACCAGTACCCACCCTAACCCCACCCGTCCCCCGAGTGCTTATCTTAGTGCAGGCTGCTCTTAGTGCAAGCTAGCGTCGCCGAACTCATCATGCTTTGATGACTCATGGATGCCCGCCCAAAATATGCGATGGTGACCCCCAATACGCCTTGAAGAAAGGCAGCATGCGAGGAACATGTGGGTGTATGGCAATCGTTAGACTCTTATAACAGTCATTGCTGCACGCATTGAGCCAGCAGACACATATACGCATAGGATATGCATTGTACGCATAGCTATAAGACACTCAGAATAGGAAGTCAGATCTAAAGTACTCAACTAGCGCGCGTGGCTGCAGTATATTTGCGCGCGAGACTACGTGCACATGCAGCTTCATGATTGTGCATAACCATGTAAAGCTATTATCACATTTATTTGACAACACGAAACAAGCTATCATTTCACTGATTCGATGCGTGCAGGGTAATGTTCGTTGCTTTGCTCAAAAGGTTATGTAAGAAATGCTCCCGCGATGTTCATCGAGAAGTGAGTCAAGCCACGCTGCAGCTCGAAAATTGCTAGGAAATACGTACATTCAGCATTTAGTACATGGATGAGGTGTCCTTGCCATACTTGTAGCTATAGCTGAGCTAGCTGCAGGTTGCTTTGGGACATTGGAAAAACCACACCAGGTCGAAACCATAATCTGTGATAGCTCACACGTAGCGCTAAGCTGCTTCTTGAGTTGTGCACCAGACAGGGAAACTTTTGGCAGCTGTACTTGGACACAGCACCATGGCACGATGCCCCTGTAATCGGCCTCGAGACTTGCAGCGTCGAGGTTACACGACCCCCAGAATCAACAAGGGTACGAACTTCTCTTAGCCAGTCTGGCAGGGTCGCTGGAACGGCCTATCCATTATATATTATAAAAACAAAGCTTGCAAGGCAGTACACAGTGACAAGTAGACGTGGCCTATCTGTTCCTACTAGGGCAAATAGAGCATAAACATCGTCCTCGATTTGAGTCATCCGGAGAAAGAAAACCCGACTTTATTTGAGCAGCACTTTTTGTCACACCCCCCACGGCGAAGTCACAACGATGCAAACGTGCTGGGAGCCACCAACCCTTGAGCGAGCAACTGAAAGAGACCGCCTACAGAATGACACAGCAACCGCCACCCGCTTCCTCTTGCTTCTTGGCCTTTGGAGGTGATAGAACCACTTTGATGGCGGTATCAAAAACTGCTTTGATGTTCTGCACCAACATAATCAAACACACTTAAAACAGTTTGGATGGACTGGCCTTCCACGAATAGCGTCCCCCATATGGGAGCAATCCAATTCTGGTTAAAAGAGAGAAGGAGAATCTTCCAAAACGTCTGTTTGATTCAGCAGCAGGATCCGGAATACTGTATGAGAGAAACGCAACTCTGTCTCAACCCCACTGCTCATGCACCATCAGGTAACCAGGTATAAAAGAGGCAGTCTGCTGGTTACCTGCTGTGTTTTCGAGCTGCATTCCAAGTACGCCGCTGCTCCTATCGTCCTGCTAAGCTCCTCTCCCTGCATGTGGGTCCACACAGTGAGGAAGAGCGGAGACAGGGCAGAACCAACCAATAGAACGCATCCGAGAGCTACTTCCTTCAGCCATCCACGCTCGAAGGAGAGTAATCCTAGTCCTAGAAAGGGGCTACGAATGCGAAGCGTACGTTTGATTGTGAGGAATACGTCACTGACACAAGCTGATAGCCCCAAAGTCACACTATGCTGTAATCAGAGGCCTGCAATTGACTTGGTGGTTCACAAAATAAACGTAGCAGCTCGAGGCAAGTCGACCTCTGTGTAACCACCCGGAAATGCGACCTGATGACACAATGAAGTTCGGTGGGGTGATCTTTGGCCTTGGACAGGCCCTATCAGCGAGTTGCTAGCTTTGACAAGCAGCAACGTGTGCAGGCCCACTGGACTCCTGAGTAAACGCCAGCCACTCAGAGCTATCTGGTTGTTTGCAGTCTTTCAACCGGCCCCTTCGCTGCCCCGCTTGAATCAGCCAATGGCTTGTCAGGACTGCTGATTGCCAGAATACCTCAGCTAGGTGGGTCAAGAGTGCGTCTATTACTTACCATCGCCGTTGTGATTGGAGTTGCTCCGGGATGATCTTCGAAAAATTGGCGGTCGTCGCGCAGATCTGGAAAGTAAGACAACACCGCATGAGTTGTTGCATGCAAAGTGGTACAGTAGAGGTCTTTGGCCGGTAATAAAAGCTCTTTCTGAAACAATAGTTCAGTGACCTGCTGTCTGAAGAGACTAAGGCTGAACAGCAGCAATGGATTATGTAACCCCTTAATAGTCGACCACAGCACGTAAGCTCTCGTCTGGTCCTGAAGAGCAAAGAGGATAAAAGAAAGAGAGAAGTTGGAACTTCAGCAGCTGCAAACACAACACGCATGCTGCAATTCTGATGAGGGCTGGCTCAAAAGTGCGAACTCCAATTGCAGTATTGAGGTGATCGCACACCAGATGTTTTTCCCTTTCTGTGAATCCAGCAAAACTTCCCAATCGTGTGACACCACCATTGAAGCAGCGAGTCAGCCAGAATGCACACGGCATCGATGTGCCGCATCCTCGGAGCTCCGCTAGTCCAGGCAGCCCCAAACTTACCCAACTTGGTACCGACGAGGATGATTGGCACATTCTGTGCGTAGTGCTTGAGTTCAGGGATCCACTGCAAGTAGGATAGCACGAGTACATGAGCAAGCGTCCTTATTTGGAAGTCTATCAGGAAGAGTGCACCCCAAGTTGGCGGCCTTTAGAACTGCGCTTGAGTCGCATGATGTTGTCTTGACAATTGCACGTGTGCAAGGCCCCCACAAGCCCCATCGACCATGACGCTGCTGCTTCTTTATCCTGAAAGTCACACCCTCCTCAACTGAGCCTCCTGCCTTCAAATACTGCTCAAGTCGCTATCGACCTGTGCGTGAGGATTGTCTTCTGGCTTCGAATCTGAGTTTGACTGGTGGCATAGCAAAGGTGAATTGAAAAGGCCGTCAGCTGACCTTCTTTGCGATGTTCTCATAGCTGGCCTTGCTTATGAGAGAGAAGGCGAGCAGAAACACATCTGCGCCTCTGTAGCTCAGGGGCCGCAATCTGTTGTAGTCCTCCTGGCCTGTATACACAACAGATACTCTCAGACCTCTGAATTAAAGCCTGGAGGGTGACTGGCTGTATGATTTTTGTCATGTAGATTATTGCAAACTGTTGAACCTCGGATTACTCCTTCCACGAACTCTGCAAAGAACTCCGTGAAATACTGGAAACATACTTTCAAGAAAGCTGTGGATGCTACTCGCTGTTCTGACTCTTTGTCTTAGGCATGTTGTGAGATAGGAATGCCAAAATAATCACCATGTCTGCAAGCTAAGGTAAGTATCATTCACAAGAATTGTGGAATCGGGCGATGCCTCAAGATGTTCAGCATTCGATCGGCGAAACCAGGCATGAAAAATGCCAAACAGCAAACAGGGACTGCAGAAAGTCACAGTCAATTTCAATCATCTGTGCAGCCCAGCAGCTGACTACAAGAGCTGCGAGACACAGTTGTCCACAGCTGGGAGATTGTCCAAACCAGGACACACTGAGCATCGTCACAGCTTGCTGGCATTAGATCCTTAGACCTCACCTGCTGTATCCCACAGCCCCAGGTTGACAGTGTTGCCATCAACCACAACATTGGCACTGAAATTGTCAAACACTGTCGGCACATAGTCCTGTACGCATACAAGTAAGCCTGAGCCGGATGCAACCCTGAGTCCATGTCTAAGGAGAATTGAGACGCCATTCCAAAAGCGAACCCTAAACATACCTTGCAAATTGACTTGCTGAGATTGTGGATTCTTGACAATTGTGGAGACGCTCCAGAGTTGCACTCTCTTGCCAGCACCAGATGATTCCGGAAAGAAGTAATCCACAGGACACGTTGATTTGAATTGAATCTGAAGGTACTTACTGTTGGAAAAGAATTGCTCGTATACGAGATGAGCATGCACGTTTTCCCCACTGCTCCATCACCCACCGTCACGCACTTGATGAACCTAAGGCAGACAAGGAACCGCGTTACTAGGTGATGGGGACATTCATAGTATGAAGCCCCATGGGTAGCATCATTAATGAGCAACTGCCAGAAGCTCAGCGTGTACTAAGGGGGGGCAAAAGTGCAGCTTACCTTGACTGACCGCTCATTTTGCAACTTCCAATGAACACAACCTGTCGCACGTAGCGGTCTTTTACCAGTCAAGGTTCGCCCACGTCTCACATCCAGGCAACTGCGATGCGATGCAATGTATCGCCTGCAGCCCTTGCCGGCTCCGCAATGTGATTATGTTCTACACAGCGCAGACCGAAAAGTGACGTTTCTCTCTGCTTGAACTCCCGTCTGCTATTGAATGTGGTTTTCCACACAAGATAACGAATCTACAGTGCTCATAGAAAATGACTTGGAGACAATGCAAGTCTAAGACCCTCGGTTCCAACCCCTAGCTTGCTGCTTTGGACTCTTCAGCTCAAGCCTGAGCACACGGCAAACCCTGCACAAGATTCTCCCAACCTCAAATCTTACTGTTGTGATCTCGGGTGAAAATAGACAGGACTAGGCAACCTAGCAAACCCGCGCCATTTGTGGCGAGATTGGGCTCCGGATCTGGATAATGGGAGCTGACGGAAGAGCTGGCAGCTGCCCTCCAAGTCTCCAGCTCAAGAACTCCTCCAACCGCTCAACGGACCAAGTTGTAAGATAAGAGCTCCACAGAAGACCTGGCTGGCGGCCCCCGCACAGTGCTTTATAACACAATCCTGGACAATGCTCCTTGCCCCGCAACTTCAACTTCAAGTTCACGGGTGCAGCGTGCTACCGTAAAGTCTTACATACCTACGTCTACCTACTTCGGATTGTCTACGGATTTCTTGCTTTTATAGGTCCTATATTTGAAAGACTCGGACGGTCCGATGAATTTCATCGACGGTTGGCGAGAACTCGTACCTGCACGAGGGTAGCACTGGGTACTTGGTACATACTACCATCGGTACATACCTAGGTAGTGAGTACAGGCGGCGGCACTGCAGTGACTGCACAGTGCAGGCAGTGCGGTACAAACCAGTGGTAAATGCCGGCCGGCCGCTCCGAGCTCTTAGGCTTCTTAGCCTAGTCCTAGGTACATTTGTCATAATACATACCTAGGTACTTACTATTAGTGCGTGCCCAAGTGCCTTGACATTGTGGGCTGTCCAAAGCACGTGCACAAATGCCTAAAAAGAGACTTTTAGAGACAATCTCAAGGCTCGAGCTACTGGGTATGTACATTCGAACTTCGCTCATGTGCCACAAATGGCTCCTGCACGACTCCAATGGCTTTCAAATCGAATATTTTGTACAATTGAGTCGCTAAGGATTGTCCTATTTGATTTAGATGTCATAGTCCGGGCCCTTCTCTTCATGTCTTTTTGAGCCTGTAGCCTACCTAGAAGTTAAATTAACAAGTGTGATTCAACAATACCATGGCTGATAATTTCTTCGATCTTGCATACCACTCCGTACGATACAGCCATGCCCACTCAACCACCATCTTTGTCATGTTCTAGGGGTCTTCTGTCTAGTCTCCGTGTGACCAACTACGTCATTGGGCCTTCCATATGTACACCGTCGGCATACGGTGTCCGTGATTGTTACTCTCGCCTCTGGTTGCCAATTTGCACCGTTGTTCTATCTCGATCAGATGCACATTTGCAGTACACTTAAACACCTTCTATCCATACTTCAAGACTCTTTTGCTGCCCTGACCGGATACACGGTTTAGAGTTTTCGTCTGCAACGTTGCTAAGAAGGCAACACAACTTTCAAATCGGGAACCTTTCAGAAGATTGCTTCGACATGGCAATCTGGATTGCACTGCCTGGATATGCTGAGGTCATGCAAGTTTGTCATACATTGGACACACTTGTAAGGTTTTAGGCTTAACTGGATGTGTTGGAAAGTCATAAACAAATACAAACTTCAAAGGTGGATATTCTTATTGCATCATGTGCCGACCCTACTATTTACTTTGACAGCAGTTGATGCCCCTTTGAATATCAGGGCAGTCTTTAGTGTTTGCACGATGCCAGGTCGACAACCCATGTCAGGGACTATTTACGGAAAGTGAGCACTCCGTCTCGAGATTGAGATAGGTTTCTCTCATACTTTAAATGCTCAACATTCTTGAGAACAATTGCAACCAAATAACGACCACCAAGCGTCGACCTATGGCAAGTCCGTCAACTCCGTCAATCAGTGACCAACAACTCTAACTGCGCCTTCCCCCTTTGCATTCGGCCAGGTTCCCATTCAAACTGTCAAGTGATTTGCAAAGTCGTGCATCCCCACTTTCGCAGCTCGAGCACTAAGCTTTTGAAGGGCACCTGCTTGAATCTGCCTCACTCTTTCCCGCGTGCAGCCATACCTGCAATATAAGTCGCAGTCCGCCTTGTTCAATAGATGCTTGAAGCAGCCAACAGCATCAGATGCAGTTTCAAACGACGAACCTCGAACCGACGACAGGAGTGTCCCAGACACAAGAATATTTCCGAACTAGAGTTTGATACCCACGCCTGATGTGACTACATCAAAGCCAAATCGTCAATAAGCACATGTAAGCAAGCAAATAAGTATCTATAAGCCCCCACAGTCTTCAAGAGTCCAGTCCAAACAGCCCCGAAATCCAACTCAAAATTCAGCAGCCACCTGTCGTGCTTCTTACTCACTTATGGCCCAAGATCTCAAATGCTAGACCCGTCCCTTCGTATTCCCCCAGTCCAAAGCCATGGTTGACGATGTCCCGCTCCCTGGAGTCTAAGCAACCGAGCAGCCGGTGGACCTCCTTTTCCTTGAAGCGGTTCTCCGCTTCGAGGCGGGGGTTCGCCTCAGGTGACGGGTCGTGCACCATCTGCAACCCGAGGTTGAGAGTCACGATGACAGGCAGGAGAAAGCGGCTGTTGCAATATCCACCATGAACACAACGGGTTTACAGGAATCGGATGAGCAGAAGGCTGATAAGGGCCGGAGATGCTCATAGTGACAGGTGCCAACAGGCAGGGCAACCTCCACAAGTAACTCCAATTTTGTTGCCATCCACGTCACAATAATGCATGTCTCATTTGTTTGCAACTCAAAGAACATGACCGGTCCAAAATCCCTCATCAATATGCATTTAAAAACGAGCCTGGCCTCACCGAACCAAAAGTCCACTCTCTGGCATCAGAGTCGGGGAACCTGGAGCCCATGCTTGCGTCCCAGGAAAACATTCTCTGGCTCATCTGCAGGAGTGCCCAAGAAGGGTCAGTGGACCTGGTGTGCAGTTGACCGTCAACACTAGACTGCGCTGAGCTTGCAGCCTTCCTTCAAAAGTATTGGGTGCTCAGACACCAACTTTTCACCATGCATCAAACGGAGACTATGAGCGGCGTCGCAATATGCAAACGCGGTGGCAAGAACTGATTCGCCGGGGTGGTTGATGAATTTGATATCAAATGTTCTAGTCTGAAATTCAATCCGCGTGCACAAACACACCGAGTTCGAATCGTACTTAGAAACAGAAGATTGCGACAGCTGACGAGTACTCTATGAGAGTCGAGTAATCTGTAATAGTTGCAGGAAAGTAGATCACTTACGGCCACAAGGCAGCTTTTGACCTTGACTTGAGGGATCTTCAACTCCTGAGCAATGTACTGCATGCCAAGAAATCAAGGTGAGCAGCATACCAACAATTTTATTTCCAACAGCTGCTCCATATCATAAATAGTTACACTTCCACGCAAGGAGAAGAATCTCGGCCAGTTTCTCCATCAAACCTGCAGCTCTGTCAACCCAGTTGTCCAATTACTGAATTACAATCGATAGGTTCTTCTCGTGGACAGCCTCCTTGCATCGAGCAGCCAAGCAAAGCTAGCCAGGCTCATACACTCGTTGCTCCACCCTGTCTGATCTCAGAGCGCAACAGTGTTTGAATTTCAGCTTGACCTGTGCTTGCGATTCACAGCAAGGGCCTGACAAATCTGCGGTGTGTGCATCAGCAAACTATCAAGTAAGCCCAGTATAACATCTTATCTGCGCCCAGACTGGCGTGCGGAAGAAACCGGGGCAACTTTCTCAAAAGCACATCCTGCCCTATGCTGCACAGACTGATATAATTCTCTAAAACAGGCGTACCATAAGCCATAATCTCACCTCCGGAGTCAAATCCTTTGATGTCTTTCCTGACTCCCGAATTAGGCGTCGGATGCGGGAAATGGCCTCGTGCATATGTACAGGCATCTTGATTGTCCGCGAGCTGTCGGCAATTGCCCGGGTGCAAGCCTGCAGAAGATGCCCTATGTTAGAAGCATAGTTTCTTTGATGTTTCAGAGGTTACACATTTGTAATGTCCTCGCTCGCCAACAGCATTGCCAAGATCTACTAAGAGATGGCTGATCAGTTGTAAACCAAAAAATTGTGAAGCATCGCCCCGAACCAGGTGAATTGCCATCGCCATTACAATCGATCTTTTCAGATTCTCCTGAGAAGACAAGCCTTAAGAATTGAAAATCCTGCAGCCGCATACCTGTCGAATCCACCAATGGGTGTAGGTTGACAGCTTGTACCCTCGTTTATATTCAAACCTCTCAATACCCCTCATCAACCCAAGGGTGCCCTCCTGCAACCAGCGAAGTGTCTATGTTTAGAACCTTTGATGTTGTAAGCAAAGCAAATCTTGATGAGAAGGATTGACTTCCACCTACCAAGCCACAGGTTACTGGTCTCCAACCCCATCAGCTCTAGATTGCAGAAGCATAAATTTGTGATCACTTTGTGAAAACAACCGGATTCAAGCTTCCCAAAACCGACTGCTCAGTCACCTGGGACAAACCCCGCAACACGCAGTCCAGAATCAAATGATGCACTTTATCAAGCACAACGGCTGGCACTCAAAAGAGCGCAAGCTTCAGGCGATTAGCAGCAAGCCAGTTTCAAGCTGTTCGCAGATATCTGGTCCCAGTTCCTGCACTTACCTGAATAAGGTCTACTAGCGGAAGCCCAAAAGAAGCGTAATTCTTGGCCACTGAGATCACAAGTCTCAAGTTGGAGACGACCAGCTTTTCTTTCGCACTCTCAGCATGTCGGACCCGCCTGACCAGCTCCCCCATGTCATCGGCCAGCTCCACATGGACTGCCCACTCTTCTAGGGTTGCCTCCCTCTCCAGCGCATGCTCCAGCCTGGGAATTGTGCAAGTGCCCGGTGAGTCTGAGTCACCCCTAAAGTTCCTGCCGGCAAAGTCATACCAACAAGGCCCAACAAGTCACGCGATATGCAGGCTTGTGTCAAGAGACCCTTGGAATGACAAGCCAACCGATTGGGCAGGCTGGCATTTGCCACACTTGACGAAGGATTTCTTGTAGGCATTGACCAGATGCAATATTAACCAAGAGCGCGAAGCCTACCTCTCCTTTGCAGCTTGCAGCTGCTGCCCGATGTAAACCTTTTTGCACAAGTGCTTCTCCTCCTCCGGCGTCAGCAGCTGGTGCGTGTTTAGACATTCCTCAAATAGCGAGAGGCTCTCGTCCAACCCCGCCTCCGCCCTTTGCTGCGCAACTGCAGCCGCCCTCCGTGCAGCCTCACTGGAGGAGCTCCTAACCCCACTGAACTCGGGCACTGGGTCCCCCTGCGCAGTAAACCGCTCCTTCCGAGTCTGCAGCCGTCTCCTCCGTGCGGGCCCGGACATGTTTGAACTGCTCGGCCGTATTCTTGGTTGAACTGGCTTTGCTGGTTTCTTCACTCTGGCCCGAGCCTCTCTTGCGCCGGCTTCTGTACAGGGCGCCTCCTCCTGCGCCTCCTCCTGCGCCTCAAACTCCCTGCCTGACGTTGATGGCAGCAACCCCTCGTCCTCCTCCACAGAAGGAAGGGCCCACTGCGTCTCCAGCAAGGTCCTCTTCAGCTCCAACATGTCCAGCTCCGCTAAATCCAACGTAGAGGCCACCGCCGATGTGCCAGCAGCCACAACCCTCGCCGTGACTCTGTCCCCACGCTTCGCTTTGAGAGTGCTACCGGCATTGCTGGCAACTGATTTGACACACAGCACCGTTGGAGGACTCGTCACAACCTCCTGTGTCCCCCGTGCCTGAACGCAGGGAATTGGCAGAAAGGACTCCTTGGCATTTGCAAGTCCTTGAGGACCCTGCCCCAGTCCTGCACCAAGAAACGTGTTCGAACGCACAAGGGTTCCTTTGCAGGAGATGAGGGAGGCCATTCTTACCCAACGAGAGCAAAATCCCACACAACAAACCACTCGATGGAATCAGGTACCGCCGAGTTGGAACAATGAGGTCCCGTACTCCCCAGCTTGTTAGCTGCTTTCACAAAGCAGTCTCGGAAACTGACACCTTCACCGCCCTGCCTGATGCTCTTTATCCAGGCACCAGAAGCCCTAGAGCGCAGCCAATTGCGAGACGCAACGGCATCCAACCAGCAACGTCAAGTGATGCAAGCTCCGCTGGGAGCTTGACCTAGAGCTGCAGTCCGACCCTGGGCCTCCGACCCTCGAGACTGCAGGCTCAGCAAAGTTTCTGGTCTAGATTTTCGAAGGAGAAGATTCTTCGCACTTTTTGCTCGTATTGCTCTGTACGCGCTTCGCCTTCTGGCTACTTTTGGCCGTCAGATCGTAGCATCGGACCGCGAAGATGGCATGAAAAGCCGTACAACCCTACAGCACCTTTATAACTCATGCGTACTGGCCGTGCTTTTTGAGTAGCAAATCAAAGCTCTCCCTTTTACCAGCGTGGCAGACCTGTGCTATCCAATTTGGCAGATCTTTTTGTGAGCATTCCAGCGTTCTGGGATCGACGCGCGTGGCTGCGCGAGCAGTCGCAATGTGAAGCGCCACCCGGCCGCCCGGCCGCCCGGCCGCGGTGGAGACGGCCACACGCGCACCAGCCTAGGCTCTGCCATGCTCTGCCACCACCTATACCGTATGTAGCCTTAGGTACATTGCTAGCTGGAGCCGGAAGCAGAGCTGCAATTTGTTCCTGGGGCCGTAGCAGACAATGCAATGCGGGCTGGAGCAAGGCGCAGCTCTTCTGCAAGACTGCAAGTAGAAAAGCGCATGGTGCCTAGCTAGATTCTGGTTTGGTGGTGCAATTTCATTTGTGGCCGGAAGCACTGACCAGTTTGTCTTCAGGAAATCTGCGCTTATTAGCAGGTTCCCGACCTCCTGAATTTGTGTAGGAGAAGCTAAGTTGTGAGATCTGCATAGTTGAGCGTGGATTGAGTAAACCATGATGGCAGACTATGATCGAGAAATCGAGGATCTGAAAGCACTCGTCACAAAGGCGCTTGAGAAGAAAGGCGTCCTATCTAAAATCCGAGTAAGGCCCAATCTGGACTCAATATAGAAGATGTGAATCTATGCCTGTGGGATAGCAAGTCCCTCTCCATGCCATGGTACCCTTAAAAACAACGGAAATCTTAGGACCCCTACAAGCAGGCCATGGTCAAGCACATGGTAATGCTGTGGCTGGTAACTCGTGTGGACAGTGCTCAATGCCACATTTGTCTAGCATGAACTCAATGCAAATCTTCCAGATAGCAACGTGTGTTGAAGTGGACATTCACCTTCTAACTGAACATGGTGTACATTGTCTTTCTGCTGCTGGTAAGTTACATACGTCCTGAGTTGCATACCTAAGCGTCCCGCCATGATAGCCACAATTCAGCCCCAGAGACTTTGCGGTCCATTTGTTGTCTTCACAGGCGCAGCTCCGAGCTAGTGTTTTCCAAGCAATAGAGGAGCAGGATAAGGTGTCAGAAGAGAACGGGGAAGAGACGGCCATCGTGGGCGGCTGCAGTAAGCAGGCTAAGGAGTTACACAACACTCCGTCAGGTGAGAAGCAGCCTTCAGGGTGCTCGGTAGGTGTGCTCCAGTGCAGCTGTTGGGGTCCACAACAAGACACATGGGTTGGGCTGACTTGGTAGCAAATGCTGTGTTTGATAACTGGCACCTTCATAGAGAGCCGACGCGCATCTCAGTGCTGTTGCTGCTTTGTGTAGGCGTCACTTTTCAATTACGCAGTCAAAGCGGCGCTGATTCCAAATAAGCTCTGAAGTTGCGAGTTTGGAATGTGCGTATGCGGCCAGAGCGGAACTCATCCTTCCTGAATGGAGCACGCATACAAGTACCTCCATGCAAGCTGAAACGCAACCCCAAGTTAGATTAGGTTCTTGACTGCGCCATGTATGTATCTGAAGGTAGTTTGAGACCTCACTTCATTGTCTGTGCAGGGCGGTTGTTGTCTGGCCTCATTTTGGAGTACTTTGAATGGGCGGAGCTGGACCATACTGTCCAGATCTACCTTCCGGAAGCCAACCTAACTGATAGCGGCGCAAGTCGCGCGCAACTCGCAGACTCACTGGGCCTAGGACATGCGGCCAAAAGCAACGAACGACCCCTCTTACTAGAGCTCATTGAAGCGAGGGTAAGCGAGCCTGGCCAACGCAGAGGTTTTCTACTTTATTTCCTTGTTGTCAAATACCAGCTGGCGACAAGAGACAAGGAGCTTGGCTGAGCGGCCTCAATTGGTTCTGCTTCATCCCCGAAGCCGCAGTACTATCGGACTCAACATGAATGGGGCATAGCGTGTATAAGCCCAAACCAACCTGTGGTATGGACCGCAGATCGAGATTGGTATGGCTCTCGTAAGGCTCCTCATAAAGGTTTGACCTTGAGTGCAGCAAGACGTCAACTGTGAGAAGGAGATTGCATAAGGGCGGCCAGGGGTTTTGGTAATGAATTAATCAAAGTGGACGCGCATTGGGGCACCATTCTTGCCTGCTTCATTGGAACACTGAGAGGAATTGGCTCGTGATTGCTGTGCAGCGGTCGCAGGACGCCCCGCGCTCGTCATCCCCCACCACCAACTCCTTTGCACCACCCACCTCGTCCAGCAGACTATCTGCAGCGGAGACAATGGCGGCTACATCTCCTTACGGCTCGTCTCCTTATGGCCCTACGCCCTCAGGCACAGGCAGGACGCGAGATGGCGCGCCGGATACCAACGAGCACAGCCGACCGCAAAGCCCTGCCAAGAGGTGGGACCAGCAGACCTGCAAACATCAAAAAAGTCAACATAGATACCATTCTCCACTCTCTGCTTTGCATCTAGCGTATTGATGTCGAGTATGGGTTTGCTTTATCAGGTCACCGCGACTTGAGAGGATCCTACTTGCCCTCCATATTGTGCCGTTGATTCGTATAACCCTTGACCTTTGATAACCAGAACCGCCAGGTATCATAGTTTCACTGTAGAATTTCTTTGCTTTTGACGATGCATTGACTTTATGAGCCATAGGACTCGGCATACTGAAAAAGTTGACCTCTGGAAGATTGTTGAAGGTTCTTACTCGAGACTTAGAATAATGACCTGTCGTCTGGGCCAAGGGTTCAAACAGTCAAGGCTTCCTATGGGTGTCTTCCTTTAGATGCGCCGCCTGCTCTGACAAGCCCAACCTTTTCTGCTAGCCACAGGTACGAGTCTCCTCCGTCCCCTAGTAAAGTCCCCACTGCCGCCGCCTTCTTCACCAGCTCCATCCTGGCAAGCGAAATCTCGCCGGGTAAACCTGGTGAGTCGCCAGTTCAGGAAGGGGGGTCGCGAGGTGCCTCTGGCTCGTTTGGCTCGCTCAACAGGTGTAGCAAAGCTGTGATTGTAAGTTCGAGGCGCTCATCAGCCCCATACGACGCTCGATCAGCCGCAAACCTTATCTGCTTTCTAGACAAGAAGAATCCCCTTGCGAGGCATCCTCCTGGCGAACATGGAGGGTTTTGCGTGGACAGTACGCACGATGAACCCGTCTCTGCTTTCAAAATCTCATTCTGGGCTCGATCTGCAATTCACCTTCTACCGCAGTTTCACATTCTCTCGCCTCTCCCATCCCGCCTCTTGCCGGATTGATATCTTCCCCCTCGCAATTCCGTCTCCCTCCCCGCTCACACTTCCCCCCTCTGCCCCAACCACAGCCAGCCCCGCCGCGGCTTTCTCCGATCCGCCCACGAGCTCCCCCCGTGAAGCGGACCAGCGGAGCTTGCTGGGCGCCCTCCCCCCCCTGCACAAGCAAGCCTTGCCCGCGCTCGGAAGCAGGCGGTACGCCGGTCTCGCACCGCTGCGGGCCAGCCAGGACGAGCCGGCCACTGCGGGTCACGGCGCATCGGGGCAGGCACCGTCGTCAGAAGAAACATGTAAGTGCGAGGCAGCCACGTTGATCCCTGGCTTGCCAAACTGCAGTGCTAGGCGGCTTGAAAAGTTGCAGCAGTCGGTGTGACGACTGGGTCGGGAGCATGGGTTTAGTTCGAAACGAACTTGCGCACCGAGGCTCACATGTTCGAGTCGCCGCAACTCGAAAAAGGTGGCGATCGATGTGGTCTCCGACCACCTGCTCGTTGAAATCCTTGATTTGACATCCCAATACATATACTTGCCTGATATGCATGTCCTGCAGTCGTAAAGACGGTTTTAATGAATGTTTTACGAAAGGTCCTACACGAACATAGATGCTTCTGCATGGTATTTTTGTCGAGAGTGTCGACCAAAAACAGCTCTTGCCGCTGCAACACACATCCACAACACCGTCGTTGTGTTGAGGAAGCAGGCATCTGTCCCCCGTGCTCACGCGGGGGACTTTTTTGAACCCTCTGTCCGGATTCGCAGCCTCTCCCGTGATCACGAGCGCCAGGACGCGCCGGTCGAGCAGCGAGTCGGAAGACAGCCCCAGGGGAAGCCCCGGGCGGCAGCTAGACAGGCCCGCCACGCCCAGCGAAGAAAGGTGAGCCCCCGAGGGAGCACTCCTTTACAAGTCCGTTGGATCTTGCCCAGGGTCTTTCTGAGGGACGCTTCTGGGGGACGGGAGTTTCTGGTGTTTCACACGGGCGGGAGAAGAAGGCTGGCGGAGATTGGGAGCGGAGGACTCGGAAACAATGAAGCTGTCTGAATTGTTCGATGATTTGCTGCATGCGGGTTTCCTTGGGGCCGAGAGGACAGCCCAGGGTCAGCCTTTTCTTTCCACAAAAATTCATTGGTCCGATCAGCTTGCGAGCATTTCAAAACGCGTTTTGAGAAGACGGTCTCACGTTCGATCGGACCCAAAGTCCTTTCGAATTTGACTATCCTTCTTTTGGGCATCTTTGGCGTCTGGGTTCGGCTTGGGCGTTGGGTGTTGCAAAGAAAGGAACCCAACGCCTTGGATAGACTTCCGCTTTTAGCTTATTGGAAACAGTTGTGTTGGCAGGGACATTTCGGAAGAGATCGAGGAGGAAGAGCTCTCTGTGGAGGCGAGTGACCTCTCGGTAGGCAGCCAACCGCAGGCGAAGTCTAACGAGCCGCTTGTCCGAAAGTGAGTCATGCTGCATGGGGCCCCTGCTCGCTTATTAGGAGTCATTGTTCAAAGCGAAACCTAGGGGTATTTGCAAACGACCGACCTTTGTGTTTACAGACCGTTTGGACTAAGTCGAACGGTATGTGCTTTGTGTTGCAAGAACACGTCAACGATTATTATCAAAGTCAGCCAGGTATACTTGGCGAGGTTCCTCTTTATAATGCATGCAGCGGTTCTGGAACTTAAACTTGAATCCAGGTGAGCGTTGGTTGCGAGGTTCTGAGGTCTCCGAAGCAGCCAAAAGCCAACGCGCTTTAGCCAAGTCTTTCGCCCCTGATTTCGGTGCAACCGATAGCCGGTGCAACCGATAGCCCTGGCCTGTGATACATTCGAACATGAAGACGAACGGATGCCAGGTAGTCAAGTTTTAGCTGGAGTGGCGGTTGCGATTGTACCTGGGGGCATGCAGAGAAGCCGACGACATTCATATGCCCACTCCAGTGCCGCCTATGATCATGCAAAATCTGGTCTGGAATGTGGCATAATCTATGCGCAATAGAACGGCTAGCACCCCTTCTTGTGATTGGCGGTCTCGAGCAATGCCGTGAAGAATGTTCGGTGCTCGCAAATCATCATTTTAACAGCGGCCTAGGCAGAGCAATACGGAGTCGCGGATCTGGCAAAGTTATGATCGTAAGTTCAGCCCGGCACTAGACTGAGCAGACTTGATGTACCTATAAGAAAGATACTTAGGACGGCCAGGGCGCGCTGCCGAGCTCCAGTGGAATTCCAAAAGCTTTTGTTGATTGCACGAAGTAGGCTGGTGGGGTGCAGACACTTGCTGCACAACGTCACGATATTTTTTTGGACGCGCAAGTGACATCATCGCATTCAATCATGACGTATACAGTACTGCCGCCTCATGGCGCAGGTGTGGGCCCGCCCGTACATGGAGATGAATCCATGAATTAACCGCGCTGTAAGTTGCGCGCTGGCCCGCATTTGGCTAGCTATCATGCAGACATGTCGAAGATGAGCTAGCATGGCCGGCCCATGGCGGCACAAACACGCTTGCGGATATCGTAAATACATGTACCGAGGCGTCGGAAGTAATCTACCTTATATACACAACAACGTTTCATGTGCATGCAACCGTTGCCTTGATATGATGCTCGATTCTGCGAAAAACCATATATGCATGACAGGGTGTTTATCTCATTGACATCTTGGCTTCTGGAAACGGTTCATTTTGCGATCGAGCATTGAACATGTTCGTCCGACGGATCTGACAAATAAAGCCGGCCAGGTCCGCCGCACTTAATGGGTCCCGCACCGCTCCGTTTTCAACAATGTCTGTATCACTTTGCAAGCACACACGCAGATATTGCTATGTCGGCGGCGGGTCGAATCAATCTCTCAAGCAACTTGGGCGCTGGCATGCGAGCTTCCGACAATAAGAGCCGCGCTTCTCCTGGCTGAAACCTTTTTGATGGCAGACTTCTCTGCCGTTGGGACACTCAAAGTTCGTTGAAGTATCATGATTCTAATGACTAGCGGCCTGCAACGGCACACGCTTTCCACCCCAATCCACGCTTTGGTCGCAAGATTTCTATAATGACCGAGACCGGATGAGGCCCGGCTGGATCGAATCGATTGGATTGTGAGCTACAGTACAAATAGCAAGATCGGTTCCGTGTAGACTGGGGATTCGACCCTTCCGATCCAAGAGCCTGGAGAAAGGCTGCAGTTGTAAGGTCCGCTATACCGGCCCAGGCTCCGCACGTGCGGCACTATCGAAACCCACCAGGGTAAAGAAGATGAATTCTTCCTGAAGTTGGAGGATTCACCTCTTGAAAGAACTCAACATGCAGATCAGTATCGATTATAGCATCGCAATGCTTCACAAAAGCTGCACAAGGAACCTGCTTTGCTGACCCCCGTCTTTCTCTAGCCTACTCTATCTCCGTCCTCTCCCTCTCATCTGCTGCTGGCCCCCTTATACGACGACCGCCAGGGCCCCTTGGTCGCTCTCTCGGGGGAGCCCAGAAGCGACGGCCCCTTCTCGCTCATCGAGTACGACGCCGCGCGCCCGGACACCGACTGGTGCCGCCGCTTGACCACCTCCGGGCCGCCCTTTGATGGCGTCATGCTGGGCGTCACCTTCCCGGTGCTGGCCGCCCGCGAAACCCGGCGGTTCTGCGCGCCATACTTGTGCTTGTACGCCTGGAACGCGGCCGCTAGCGTCTGCTCCTTCCCGTACGCGCCGTCGTCTTCCTCAGCGTCCGTGTCGCTCGTGATCAGCGCGTCGTCGGTCGCCGCCTGCTCCGTTCCGCCGTTCGCTTCCGTTCCGCTGTTCCAGCTGCGGGTGCTCGACTGGTCAAAGCTGACCTCAGACGCGAGGCCCCCGGGCAGGCTCTCAATCCTGCTGGCCGGGCTGTCCATGTTCTTCGGTTCGGGGGCGAGCCACGCTGGCAGAGTTGGCATGTTCTGCTCCGCTCGAGTGGCGCTTTCCGCCCGGCTGGGACGGGCGGAACGGCCCTTACCGGCGGCTTCCTCGTAGTAGATCTCCGTGTCCTGCCGCTCCAATTCGAACTTGCTCGCTTTTGCAACTTGGGCATGCTCCTCGGAAGCCACGTGTACGTTCCTGATTGGCTCCATCTTCACGACCGCCTCGCTCTCCTTCTCCGCTTGCTGGACCTCGAAGGCGGCAGCCGCGGGTGCCTTCGTCGCGCTCCGCTTTCGGCGTTCTGCCCGGAGCTTCTCGTAGCTCACGATCTGGCTCATCACCTTCTCCATGCTCGCGAGCTTGGGCGCCAGCCGGTCCTCGATCGCGCGCGCGCCCGCGACCTCCACGTCATGCTTGCTGATCACCCGGATCTCCGCCCACGTCGTCTCTACCTTGGGCGCGCCGCTCTTCGCGTTCGCCGCGGCGGCGAACGGGTTCGGGGTGCCGTGGCCGCTGCTGACGTCATGGCTGACGTCGACCTTCTTGTCCTGGACGTCCGCCCCGCGGCCGCCCCCAAGGAGCTGCTCCACAGCGGTCCGTTTCGCGGGCGCTTGCGACGCTAGTGGTGCCACGTCATCATCCTGCACGTGCACGGTCAAGCCCCCCGCTCCCGCCCGGTACGACACGGTCCGGCTCTTGCCCGCCTTTCCGGACTGGGCTTCCGACCCCTGGTGCGAACCGGGGCCAGTCGGTGGCAGCGTCGCTTCTCCAGAACGAGAGTTCCCCCTCGCTGAACCTGAGCTGATTCGCCGGGTGTTAACGGGCCCGCTGTTTTGGGTCTGCTTGACGCCCTCCTCTTCGACGTCCCCGTTGGAACCGTCCTCGTCTTCCTTACCCCCCGCCTTAACCAGCTCTTTCAGCTCCCTTAACCGCCGCAACTCCCGGTCAATCGCTTTCCGATCTTCCGCCAGCGTCGTGTCTTTCTCCACTGCGCCCCGGCCCACCTCTTCTAGCTGGCGCCTCAGCCGCTTCATCATCGAACGGCAGGGCTTGCCCGCCTGCTGGGAATCGACGGTCAGGTACGCTTCGGCCAGGTTTGCGGCCAGCCAGCCGCCGCCCACCAGAGTGCGCAGCTTGGAAAGTTGCACCTCTAGTTCGCCCACTCTGAGGGCAGTCGAACGGTCCCCGGCCTCAGAGCGGAGTGCGGCTAGCTCCTTCTTCAGAAGCTCCAGCTCCTGCGGAGATTGTGCAATTCGAGTCTGAAATACAATCTTGCACATCAAGGCGTCCGCTCTGCTTCGATTGAAGAAGATTCATGGATGCAAGCCTTGTGGGGATGCTTCATAAAACCCGCAGATAGATATCGCTCACAGATTGCCAGTGTGAGATCGGTCATTACGACGTAAACGAGACTCTCCCGAATTGCAGGTCGAAGTATCGGTTCAGGCGCTCAGTTACACCATTGCGAAGTTCAATTCTCTGCGGAAGTTTTGCAATATGAAGGAAGCAAACGTAATTTCGCCCCGTCTTTCCAAACGCCACCTGTTTCGTTAAAGCATAATCTCACAACATCTTTTTCAGAAAATTTCCGGGCTTCCGCGCCGTTCAGAAGATGAAGAATCAACAGATAAAAGCGAGAGTGTTGCTCATCACGCGCACCTGTGCGGCCTGCCCATTCCTGCGACTTTCGCGTCCTTCCGACTGAATGTCTGCCTGCCCTTTGCGCTCGGCGGCCGCGTTCGGGTCTCCGCTGCGCGCGGCCGCCACCTCCAATCGAACCGCCAGGGTTTGCGCTTGCAATCTGAATCCAGAAGGGCTGGATTTAAGAATTTGTCTTACTATGATTGAGACTCGTTCCGACTGATCCACACAAAACAATTCTGCTTCTCGAGCGTTCGAAGAAAGCCAGAAAATTTGTGTCAAGACCTGAAAAAGTGGTAGAAAGAGATTTTGAAACGACCCCAGTGCATCGATGCTCGCAAAGCTTTCTGAACAACGATGGGCCACACGTCTGGGCTGGACAACTCAAGACTCAGCAACGAAAACGTTTTTCTGGAGACCAGCGACTGAGTTGCGTATAGAATCTTGATTTCCTGTCTTTCTATCAAAGCGTCAGCTATACATCCGGTTTTCACCTGAGGTCGGCGATCTCGTCCTGCAGCTTCTGCTTTTCGGTCTCGTGCGCGCCCTTCTCCTGCTCAAACGCTTCCTCCACCGCGCGCAGGCTTGTCAGCATTTCTCCGCTCTTCCGATCATATTCCGCCAGCAGTTCCGCCCGTACGTCGGTGAGATCCTTCCGCTCTTTTTCCAGGCGTTCCGTTCCGTTCCGCTTCTCCTCCTCAAGCGCCTTGGCCGCAAGGGCGCCCGCGGCAGCGGCGTCGGCGAGCTGCTCGCGCATTTTCGCGAGCTCGTACTCGGACTCGGCCGCCCTCTTCGCTTGGGCGTCCGCCTGCGATTGAGAGACCAAGTGTCATCTCCCGAGTTTTCATTTCCACGTTTGCATAAATTGCAAGAGAAAGTCCGTTGGGTTAGGAATTAGCTTCATAAACGAAGAGGATTGGATGGGAAGTACGTTGGGCTTTGGCCCGCTAATTGAGCATTTCTCGCCAAGCATAGCATCTTCGCGTGGTCGTTGCAGGTGAAAAGATTTCAACATCTTCATCTCGTTCGAAGGGTACGTAGAGAAGGGCGCCATGGTGACCGCCATCTGCGGCAAGCACGGCGCTCTCCATCAGCGGAAAAGAGGATATGAGACGAGCTCGTGGCATCGGGTTTGAGGGCTTTGGCGGCGCCCACCTGCGCGACGGCGGCCTTGAGGTCGCGCTCCACTTTGAGCCAGCGGTCCTGCACGTCCGCCTGCTGCCGGTTGACCCGCGCCTCCATTTCGTCGCGCTGCTGCTTCAGCAACCCCTCGTACGCGTTCGTCAGCTCAACCCTGCGCGCACCGCGAAACACAAGACTCAGAGCGGCTGTTAAGAATTTTCCGCAGGGCTTTCAGACTGGGCCACGGAACTCAAGCTTGTTCCTCTTCGTTTGGGTGCGAGCTTTCCTGGTTCCTGCCAGGCTTTGGATACGTTTCGTGTCTGATTTCTAGGTGGCTCCATCCGCATCAGCGCGCCGTTTCGTGCCAGCAAATGCGAGGATTCATGTCCAAGTAATTCACAGCACCCGTGAATTCGTGCTCGCAGCTTTAAGCGCCAGAACGCGCCATGGGGATTTCATTGCAGACGGCCGCACCTGCGTGCCTCGGTCTCTTGGTCTTTAGCATCCAGCTGGCGCTGCATCTGCTTCTCGAAGCGGCGCGACTCGTGCAGCAGGGCCGCCTCCACGATGCGCGCCACCGAGGTCTGGTCCTCCTCGGCATCCTGAGAAGCACAAAAGCAAGATGAGTGCTAAAACGCAAGGTAACAGGTTCAATCCTGGCGGAGTCGACTTGTTGAATGCACGCAACACAACCACGCAGAAACGGATCAACGATCTTAGAGACGAGGATTTCGCAAATGCAGACCCTGGAGGGCCACTTAGAACCAGAAACGAAACAACAGGCTTACACATCAAGGACCAAGTGGATCGACAAAACTACATGAAGCTGTCTACATGGACTAGGAATCGGTGTTCCCTAGCAGTGCTGCTTTGGGTCCGCATCCACCAGATATTGGCCTTGAGAAACAGCTTCAGAAAGTCCCTCGATTGGTTCTGTAAGACTACGTCCGCGCCCGGATGGGAAGTACGTAAATAGAGACCTACAGAGAGCCAAAAAGGCGACGCACCTGCAGCCTCTGAGTCAGGTCGTGCACGGTCTTCTCCAGTGCGGTCGCCTTGGCAGGAGGAGACGGTGTCGTCCCCGGTCGAGCCGTAAACACGACGTTACTCTCAGACTGCCGCCGGTCCCTGCAAGCCAATGGGAACACTTAAGAGCCTGCAGGCTTCTCTAACAATGAGTAATCTGTCAGCACATCCTCAGCATAAGGTTCCTCGTTGATTGACAAAGCCACTCTTTAGAGCGCCTTAGCAAGTGCAGCTTCTCAGGGACAAATGTAACCCAACTTTTACCCCAGAAGATACCAAAGTAGATTGGCCAATGATCCGCCAGGGCAAGATGAAACGAGAGAAGTTTGAGACAGAGCATTCAGGTATGCCACTATGTCGACGCTCCTGCCCCTCTCACCTAGCCACGGGTGTGTTCTGCAGCTCAGCCACCTTCTCCTCAAATCGCGCCAGCTCCGCATCCCGCTCCGTGAGCAGCTGCAGGTGGTACTCGAAGTTCTCCTGCAGCTTGGCCAGCTTGCGATTGGCCTGCGCGACCTCCTCCTCCTTGGCGCGCAGCATCGCCTCGCACCGCCGCACGCGGTACTCTCCCAACTCGGAACGCTCCTTCTCCTGTAAGAAGAGGGGAGTTCGCATTTAAGGAAGCAGGGGCTGGGCTACTTTTCTAAAAGTGAAGGCGAAAAGGCGGTGTCTGGACGATGGGTGATGCAGTGGAAGACTTGGAGGGCTTACTTTGGAAGAGGGTTACTTTGTAGCTTGGAAGCTGCTATACCAGGTAATGCTCTGTGCAGAGCACGAAGTCGAGTTTTTGTAAGGATGGTAAGTATGACGTTGAGATCTTCTGATTTTCAGTTACGGAAGCTGCTTTCAAACTAAAAATGGACAAAGAATGGTAAGTGCGCATGCCGAAATGATCTGCCAAATACAGGTGAATCCCTTCTTTCCCTTCTGCAGAATAGCATTCTCATTGAACGTTCTTTTCTTCTTTGCAACACTTCCCTCACGTTACGCATGGAATGATGTCAGTAGGTGTCAGTAGTGCCGATTGGAGTATTGCCAGATAAGTACTGCAAAAGTCACTACGCTCTCAAGAACGTTCACAAGCTCTGGAAAAATGGCAGGATCAGCATTCCTCCAGAACTTTCCTACAGTTCATCATTGGTAACATGGTACAAGAGCTCAGCATTGTTGATCGGTGCTTCAGCAAAGACATGAGGCGACAGCTTTCAATCTGCCTACAGACGAACTCTCTAGTCCTTTCAAGGTTGCTCTCCTTGATAGCATTGCTGTGCAAAATCAAAGTCTGCTGTTGTAAAGCTTACCGCAGACAAGACAAGCTGCCGGATGGGCGAGGTAACACCCTTTCGTGGCGCCCATTTGTCCTCCATAGCTCCTCTACTTGCCTTTCTACCCCCAAGCAACTCTTAGAACATCCGGTCGCGGTAGTATTTGTTGTATGTCGTCAGCATGTAGAACGCAGTACTTTACTCCACAGCCTTGCTGATCTGAACTCCCTCTCCCACCGCTTCGGCACAGGTAGTGCCCCCGTCAGGAGGTGTGCGTCCCTCAGTCTGTGTTGCCAAAGTACACTGATTGCATTCGTCCTTTCGCCCTCAACGACTCACTTGTGCGGAACACGAGCTAATGCAGGCGTTGTGATCCTTCGTCAGCAAGATCAGACGTAGAACTTTGCACCTCTTCCCTTCCTGTCCGGCAGATCATTGGGGAGCGTCCAAACGGACCTCAGCAATGCTGAGATTATCGACACATCAAGCGCCGCGCTGATCGACATGGTACCTTCTCCCTCCTTTGGCTTGGAAAAGGAAGAGCATTGCCAGTTCGTGTGACAGCTCCAAGTCACTATTCAGAGCTGGATGTGTGCAACTGAGAGCACTGGACACCCCTAGTGTTCGAAGAGCGAGCTCTCCTTCGTGAGCTCTAAAGATCGAACTCCGTGGTATACAGCTTGATCTTGGTGCATGGCGGCAGGCTGATCATGAGAGTAGCCGCTGCTTATGCATCGGCAAAGGGGGCGGCCGCGCGACAACTCCTAATATGCCGTACCTCTGACGTCATTGAGCGTTTGAGGTTTCAAGGCACAGGGCTGTAACACTCACCCCTTCGAGTGAGTACTGCGCCATTTATGTAAGATTGCGCGGCTACTGAACCAATCTTAGGTGACTGTGAGGACAGGACAGGGCCGACTTGGCGGCCGCTGCTAGTAGTGCATGTACCGTCACATTAGACAGCTGATATCAAAGGTCAGGACGGTCAGTGCAAAGTACGTGTTCCATTAGGTGTATCACGCTTGACACATGCCTAGGTCCTCAGGCTAGTATACGTAGCAACTATTGGGCCACTTGAACGATTGTGCAGGTCGACCAGTTTTCATTGCATTTTTAGAGAATCTTCACCCACTGCGCACCCACTCTTCACCCGGATAACGCCTGCATTGGTCTGATGAATGGCCCTCTTGTTGCTTCAAAGCACCACCTGGCTGTCTTGCTGCGTGCAAAATGAAGTAGTGTCTTGTCGGGCTTCAGCCGGCACTCTACGGAACCATATTTGCTCGCGTACAACCATCAAGCCTGTCATCGACGGCCCGATCAAATCGGACAGCCACACGATCATTATATTTGATATCACCGATGCGCGCGTACAACTTTGACTAGCGCACGTGAAGAGCATGCGGCGCGACGCGCCGCCGCGCTGCAAGGCCGCTCTGTATGCCTGGCAGCCATGGTGCATTGAGGCTGCATGCATTACCTTACATTCTCCTTGCCAGATTGTTTTGTACCGTAGTTTTTGCGGGCAGCAATGGCTGCGCAGTCCATGCTGCTCAGGAGCGAGTACCAGCTGACAGCATTGTCCAAGAGAAACGTCGCAAAACCTGCAAGAGCCGTTCAGAGTGCGGCGGGGCCGGTTGCATCACTTGAAAGTTTGCAGAGAAGAAGTAATCCTCACTCAGAGGGAGCTAGCTCAAAGAGGTCCTTGCAAAGGGGACGGCAGGATTCATCTCAAGTGTTTGCGGGGGAAAGTTTTCTGGGAAGTAGTTGGACGTTTAAACGGAGTCTACTTGGAGAATCTGGAATCAAATGTAGACCCCAGCAGAACATCATCGCAAGTAAGTGCCCTAGCTTTCTGCTGATGGGCAACACGGTTGCAATCAGATTCTGTAGGATCGTGCTTTGTCCTAGTCGTGCTTCAAAGGGCAGCATGGGGCTGGTGGCTTCCCTTGGCAAATGTTTGCAGACACTTCAAACGCTGGTGTGCAAATTTGGGAACATTGTTGCACGTTCTAGTGGGGCTGCTTAGTTTGATAGAAGCTCAACATGAGAGGTTGTATGCATCTACGGTGGTTTGTATCTTCACGATAAAGCAGCCAGTTCACCCACCACCTTCACAGTAAAGAGTACAACATTGTCTTCTGGGTTCAGATGAAGCCCTCTAGTTCTATCAGATCCATGGCATCTCCATGATGAGCATCTTGGAGTGAGCAAGGCTGTTGCTGACACATGCTCGGACAAGATGTCCCATGTCGCCATCATCTTCCATAGAAGGCCTTGATGGAAGTTGGGGCCATGTTGGGCAGAAGTTAGCTAAACTACCACTTTTCCTGCAGTGGCCACAGCTAGTAAAGATCCTGTCACAGAGTGGATCCTAGGAGAAGGGGGTGCGATGAAGGTTCTAAGGACTAGCTCTGTTGGGGGAGGGTGCATCAATGTGGCATATAAGTACGATACGGACGCCGGACCATTCTTCGTCAAGTCAAATAGGTGAGGGGGTACGTTCTCACAACCCAAAGAAAAATTCTGGCAGCTCGCGACAAACTTAAGAAGCATGGTGGCGGAGAACTCTATTCACAGTTCCTTATTGGTCACTTGCTAAGTGACAGCTTGTTTGGGCCCATGTAATGAGTAAGGTCTGGGTATAATTGCACCATTGGAGATCTGAAAGGGGCGAGAATCATTTTGCAAATTGCTTCAAGCAAGATCCTCAAACGCTTTCTCAGTAAAGCCCCTTCTTTACTCAAGGTCGGAATCAGAGGAGACTCAACCGGTTCCCTGAAGAAAAGCTGACAACCGCCGACGACAAGCGCTTTGTAATGTGTCTTGTAAGCTGATTGTGACAAACTTGTTGAGTGATGAGCATCCAGTATTGGGATTCTTTGGGTTTCTCAGCCACTTCTAATCGTTTCGCAGAGACCCGTCCCTGCCGAAGAGGCGTTTTTGCAAAGACCCAACCCTGCAGGCGAAGCGTACTCATCCGGTTTCCTTGTCTGCAGGTCCACAGGTCCCGCCATGTTTGAGGCGGAGGCTGCAGGGCTGGAAAAGATGTGGGAGACCAAAACCATACGCGTACCCAAGCCCTTGAAGGCACGCACTAGTCTTCCTTTGGTTCCTCAATCGGTTGCAACTGCTCGTGAGTTTTACGAGTTCCTTGTCCTTGATCGTCACAATTGTTGTGCACATGTTCCAGGAGTCTGCCAGCGCCTTACCTGGTTGGTCGCCCTTGTCAGGGGGTCAGGGGGTTCCACCCTTGTAAGGGCTTACTTACTAACGTACGTGCAGGTGGGAACGCTCCCTGGCGGAGGCTCGTTCATCATTATGGAGTTCATCGAGTTCGGGAGTCGAAGCAGCCAGGCAAGCTCTCTGAACCTTGAAAGCTTCGGTGCCTCCACAAAAAGGGAAACAGAAACTGAACAGGTCCTTGCGATGGAGCATAAGATAGCCTGGAGCGGAGTTCTTCGGAAGGGACCCCATGGCCAGCCCCGAATTCTTCCACAATCGCTTTGATGAGCATTGTTCTTGTTAAGAATCATCTGAAGTTCAGTCGAGACTTGTAGTTTTAGTCTTGCCCAAACGGCGCCCCAAGTCAGTCTGTTCCGGGGTTGAAACAGCACCACGCTCTTGACCACCTACAAAGACTATGAAGAAGCAGAAAGATACGAAGAAGACATAAGGCATTTTGAAGCTTCATTGGAAGCCTTATTGTACTGAAGCAAGCATCCGTTACTCTCACCTTCACAACCACCGAGGCTCTTTCGACTGACGTTGTCAGCTTTCCGTACGCAACAGGCGGATCTAGGGAGAGCCCTCGGCGAGATGCATAAAGCCTCGACGGGGCAGTCCCCCCACGGCTTTGGGTTTTTCATGGACAACACGATTGGCAGGTGCGCTACAAAGACTCAATGCTCTGTGCCAGCCCCTGGTAGTGCGGCGTAGAAGTTGCGTGTGCTAAATGTGTACTCGCGTTTGAACTTCGAAGAAGACCGGCAAGCTTTGGGACGAGTTAAGTTCAACAGAAAGTGGTGACGACAGTGATAACAAAGGCAAGTGTATCTCTTCCCGAAAGCCAGCGGGATCGTGGGCGGGGGGAAAAGACTGTCTGTGTTCTGCATCCGTACTTCCACGCTGGCCTCAGCTGAGATCGTGTGGATTATTGTGAACACGGGCATGTTCTGCACTGCAGCACGCACCAGCCCAACACGTGGACGTCGGACTGGGTGGACTTCTTTCGTGAGCACCGTTTGGGCTTCCAGCTCGACTTGGCCCGACGGCAGTATGCAGAAAACACGCTGTACGAAAAAGGTGGGCGCGGAATTTGCTCGACAGCGCACGTTGCTTTGGTCAGAGTTGTCGAGCGTGGAGTTTCGATCCATCAACTTTCCAGCTCGGCGCAAGGACAATGACGTATACCAGGCCTCCTGGCTTCCTATGCGGGCCCTTGCAGTGGAGAGCTTGCCGTCGATTCATAGCTCGGCCAGTCTCGTCTTTAAAGCAGACGTCCTCTCAATCCTATCCTAAAGCGGTGCCCCTTGCAAATAGTCTGTGCAAGTATGCGCCGGCTTCCCCGTTGCTTGAGTGGAGAAGCACAATGGCTTCCGACTGTGTCACGTGGTCTGGTAAACCCCGTACGTCTGCACCTCGCGGCTGTGCCGTCAGGTTAATTAGCAGGTTCGACCACCAAGCAACCTTGCGCCTGGCGTCCCAGCTTCTTCATTAGTCCAGTCCGCTTTGCCTGAACGATCCACCGAGCTCTCTTCTCGTACTGTGAACCTGCAGGCCAGAAGCTGCTGGCCAAGCTGCCGGAGCTGTTGGGCGGGGTGGAGGTCGCGCCGGTGTTGCTGCACGGAGACCTGTGGAGCGGGAACGTGGCCAGCGACAAGGACGGCCGGCCCGTGATCCTGGATCCCGCCTGTTATTGTGAGTGATCGGTGGCGGTCCCTTTTGGTGGCCGACCGGTTTCTGACGTGGGGGAAATGTTTGGTGGGCGCTTGGCAATCAAGAAGATGTACGAGCAAACGGCATTCTGATCGCAGCTCGAGAGAAATCTTAGTAATGGTTCCATACGCGACTGTTTCTGCAGGGTGGATCTTCTGGACTTTCAGGGTGCTCCTTGCGACCTGTCTGGCCAGGTTTGAGGGCTGATGACGAAGAGTCGTTGACATGGGAGCGGTGATGCTTGCAGATGGGCACAGCGAGGCGGAGTTCGGCATGTCCTGGTGCGCGGGCTTCAATTCCTCGTTTTACGAAGCCTATCACAAAGTAAGCAGCCTTCTCCGATCCGAGAAGTAGACTAGCAGAGGGAAAAAGTCTTCAAGGAACGAAGGGACTCGTGCGTGGGAAACGATAGATGCCACTGGCCCGCAGTTTTATTTCTTCGCAAATCTTTCTGCTTGAAGCATGCTGGCATATCTCTTCGGCTGCTGGTATTCATTCATCTGCAACTTGCTCTTCTTGCTTCATCACAACGATCCTGCACTTGCAGGTCATTCCGAAGCAGCCAGGCTTTGAGCGCCGTGTTGAGATCTACAAGTTGTACCATTATTTGAACCATTTAAATCTTTTCGGAAGCGGGTACCGAGGATCGTGCATGTCCATCATAGACAAGTTTGTTTGATGGTCTTAGGTTTGAAAGATTGTAGCGAATACAGGAGCCATCGTCCTGTTGAACCTAGAGATTCAGGCACCCTCATACTCTTTGTCCAAATTTTGCGGGCGCGCATTTCAATCACCGTTCATGAGGGAGCTGTTGGTGAGTTATTCAATGCATGCTCAGGTATGTAAACATCGGACAACTTCAATTGCAAGAGGTGCTGAAGTCCTACTAAGATGTATGCCAGCTTGCATGCCGAGTTGCAAATGTGCGGGTACTACGTACGTAATTGTGATCTCATGCTGGCGCCGCCACCAACTTATAGGCACCGTCTACTTGCATATGTACTACGACTCAAAATTCGCGCATGTTTGATCAGATACACTACCGTCGCATGACGCGCAGTCTGGTGCATGTGAGATGCAGACATGTAACCGACGGGCGGCCGTGCACATGTTCTACATGCAAGTGTCTACACTGAGTGACAGTGGCTAATTGATACTAACTTGATTCAGCGTCTTGATCGTGGAATCCTTCGTTTACAACAACCAATGGCAACAGTGGCTATTGCATCAAAAGTTGCAACGGTGTAGAGTCGAATTTCTTAACTGAATTGGCCCATCTTTGTGTAACACCTAACCTTGAACGCCTATAGCTAGGCCGGATCGAGTGCAGGCACTCAGACAGAGTGCAGGCTGGGTTTGCCCCATGACCTAGTTCTAGGGCCGGGAATCTGTGTCTCAAAGCGCACAACTAAGATGGTTTAAGCGTGTCATTGGTTGAGCGCTGCATGGGCGGCAAGTTCCTCAATAGGATTGTCGAGTCTACTAATCCAGTTGGAAGACGGGTTGGGAGGATCGAACGAGCTCTTTGACTAGCGTGCAGCTGGCTACTTGCGTGGCTTGTGTTCAACAAGATACTTGGCAACAAACTCGTACGGATCCTCTGGCCTGCACGAAACAAACAAGTCCCCGTCAGGTACAAGCCTCGGCGACTTCAAACTTGTGCTTCATTTGACCGCTTGAAAAGGTATACGAAAGATTTGTAGGGTGCGTGATCTGCAGCACAGAAAGATCAACCTTTTCACCAAAGGCATATCTAATTACTTGAGCTATTTGCCACTTGCCTTGTTTTGACGAGCGCCCTCAGGGCGTCCCGAAGGACAGGCACAATTGTGGAGTTTAGATACTCCTTGACGGGCAGAGCAGAATCGTTTCCGGTAATAGCCCGGATCTGAGGTGACGTTGGTAGGATGTTCTCTCCAGCAGAGGGGCTGGAAGGCTGGGAGGCCGGCTTCTCTACCTGGCGAGATGTGAACAAAGCCTGGGTTTCTTTGACTTCTTGCAAAGCAAGCTTGATGGCAATGCTTGATAAGACTAGTCAAGTGGCAAGTTCCGGTGTGTGCAGATTCTGAATCTGACCTCAAAGAAGGTTTTGACCGTGGGATGAGCTCTTAAACTTGGCTTAAACAGTCCGATTGAGGACAAACCTTCAAGCTGAGCTTCTGGTCTAGGGCTGGTGCCAGCTCTTCCAGAGGCGCAGTCTTCTCCTCCTTGATCACTTTTTTGGTCTCCGCCGCTGGCTCAGCAATCTCCGCTTCCTGTAGCAAACCAAATGAGACATTATTGGGGTTTCTTGCAGGCGATTCGTTTTTGAGCTTAATGACAAAAAGCGCATGAGGTCTCAGTCTGATGCTTACGATCTGGACTGAGGCCGACTCAACACAATTCTTGGGAAACGCATGATGATTGAAACCCCCAATTGCCTGGTCATGTATGCGCCTCTTTTGCCTCTGTCAGTATGTTCATGATCGCTGCATCCCGAATTCCTTACCTTTGCAGCAAGCTCCTCGGCTTTTGCTTCGGTCAAAGGTTTCTCCCCACGCGGAGTGGCGGCAGCAATAGCATCTGCACAATACAGGAAGCGCGGCATTCTGGATATCAATCTACTTGTAGGAACAAGGAATTGCCGACTGCTACTGCTTCTCCAGAGAAACCTCCAGATTCTAACAGAAACATGGCCATCCCACGTGCCTGGAGCTCTGCTTGACACCTTAAATATATATTCTCCAGAGGACCCTATGTACAACTGCAAAAGGTTGAAAGAACAAGAGATTGGGTTATGCTATTTGGCAATAAGAGGTGGCTAAAAATCTGAGCAGTGTAGAGCATCAAAAAGATTACTTGCTAACTGATGAGTCAAAGATAACATGCGATAGCATTGCTGCCTGATCAAAAGATATCCATAAATCAGAAGGCCCTTATAAACATACCTGCAACAGCGTTCTCAGTGACTGGAGCTTTCTCAGCTTGCTGCTCCAATGAGGTTTCCTCACTCTGTACGCTGCCTGATTCGGCCTTCGCCTCCCCACCCTCTTGCTTCGTCTCTGATCCAGCTGATGCAGCACCCTCATGAGGAGCTGCAGATTCGTTCGGTGCCTCCATGCTGACGGGCTCCTCAGCATGAGCAGGAGGCGCGTCGTCCGCCATTATGTGAGGGGTAATATGGCTGCTCGGATAAACCTCATGATTTTTTTCTCTCGTCTTTTGATGTTACGCCTGAGGGTCGCCTGTTGGGTGAGTGTTGGCCTAGTGGAGCTGGGATCTGGAAAGGCGATTTTCTGTCTGTCCCACGTCTGTCGAGTCCCCTCTAACATTTCTTAGATCTCCCGTAGTGGTCGAAACAGCTGTTACTGTCACATGACAATCGAATAGGTACCAGGATTAGGCAGATTAGGCACGTAGGAACACGTGGTCGTTAAGTTGGGATGGTGGTTGGTACCCTGTACGAGACGGCGGCAACGGCCCCCTTGTTGTTGCGCGCGCACTTTACATCGAAGGCCTCGAATTCATACCGAACGTGGGATCGGACGGTCAAGCTAGGCCTAAGGGTTAGGAAGTTGGAACCAGTACCTAGGTAGTAGGTAGGTACGTTCGACCAGGCTCGGGCCAGCAGGCTCGGCCTGACTCGGCCTGAAGCTCCTAGCTGATTTTGCCCCGGGGCGCTTCTGCGCCCCGGGCCTTTGCCCTGGGGCGCAGGCTAGCTTCCCTGGGGCGCACATGGTAGAACCGGGCTCTTAGAAGCGCCCGGTACACTGAGCACGTGCTATACTAACCGGGCCAGGGAGGCCCTGTAGGCTGTAGCCAGGTTGGCCCCCTTTAAACGCCTCCCACTGCAGCTAAAGTAAACCAGTCGGATCAAAACGCTACTAGACAAAACCAACTTATGGCAAGACAATATACAGGTATGCATCCTAAATCCTAAATCCTAAATATGGATTTTTTGGCCTCTAGGGAACAAGTATGAATCAAACAAATTGATCTGTCAAGTGCTGGTAAGCTAGGCACTTATGCTAAATGTTCTTGCAATCGTCTCACTTATGGCAGTAAACCTTGCTCATATATTCGACCCTGTTTGAATCTCGATCATTTTAAAAGCCCCAAAAGTTAAACTCATGTACCTAGATAATAGATACCCATGCTCAGGCCCAGATTTGCCCGGGGGCGCTTCTGCGCCCCGGCCCTCCGCCCGGGGGCGCAGGATATTTCCCGGGGGCGCTCTGCGCCCCATTCTGCGCCCCGCCCGCACCCCTGAGCTGAGCCTAGGTACCCATGCGACTCGCGAGCCTACCTAGGTCCCGCGCGCGCACTTGATCTCGATGGGCCGCCAGCTGGCAACGATACGTACCTAGAATCACCCGTGACCTTGCGTGACGTCAAACATAGATGATATTTATTTCACCAATTAATTCACCGAGCCGCGAGAAATCGGGATGGTAGGAGTCAGGACTAGGTACCTACCTGCCTTCTTTTAGAATACGGTAAAAAAAAAAAAAGAATGAACAATCTGAGGACACCA